TAAGCAAAGGGCATATCACGCGCCCAGATGACTTCCACGCCAGATGCTCGTCGCGTCAGCAGCTTCTCCGAGCACTTCGGTGCAAAGCGGTGAAGCCCACCACATCGGGCACCCCTTTTGCATTTTGACAAGACAAGTGCCCACCCCGTCTTTAAAGATTATCTCAATATTTTAAGTGGGCACTTGCCCAAGAGTATATCACGAAACGCTTAAATATAATTAAAAAAAAATTGGGTTGTGTGTGTGTGTTTATACAGCCTAGAACTTGGTCTGCCTCAGAGGGGCGACGAGTCTCCCAGCTGTAGATGAGAAATTTAGCCAGTGCGGTCCAGCCGCTAGCCTGGGGTCTTTAACGTGCATCACGCAGTAGTGATACACGACCGCACGCCGGTACGATGCTCATCCAGATCGAAACGGGCAGGGGTGGGGCTCGAACCCAGGATCTGCAGAACCCAGGATCCCTGGGTTCTGCAGCGCGAGCTTTCGCTCCACGTGCTCCGAGCTGGTGTGCGCTAGACCACTCGGCCACCGATCCCCCCTTTAAATATAATAAAATGCGTTGATTGTGTGGATTCATCCGAGTTATATATTTACAATTTTCCCCCAACTCTAAATATTTACTTGGGACAAATTTGGATTTGGGATCCTTCTGTCCAGGGCGATTTTGCCATATACCCTGCACTTAGAAAGTAATTTGACTCTATGTTGGTGTATCTGCCTCACATCTTGGTGAAATGTAGAACTTAGCAGCGCAAACGCTCTTAACAAAGTGGTGTGATTGGCCTAAGCCATTTTGGGGCACCTTTCGGAGCAGCTAAAACAGTGTTTTGGAGCAGCAAAAGTCGCCTTTGGAGCCGCCAAAACAGTGCTTCGGAGCAGCAAAAGGGGCTTTGATAGCAGATATTCTTAGAAAAATAAAAATATTCGTTGGAAGTGCTGGAGGAACGAAGGGCACTTGGTGTTGTGCTGTAATGTGTTGTGACGAAACTCGCTGCTTGTGTTTTTATTGCTGAGACATCTTACAAGTGTACAGTGTTGTAGGCGTTGCCGACCGCAATTCGGAAAAACCGCTTGCCACCAAAATCTGGCACGTCGGACACCGGTAAGGTGCCCGACGTGCCAGATTTTCGTCAAAAAGTGGGCAAACGTAAAACAATGGATTGCAAGCGTCCCGGCTGGTGCCTCTGTCGTGCAGTCATGTTCACGTTCACGTGAGGGAAACTTCGACAAGCTTGCCGGTGCACGTGCTTCGTTCAGCGAGCAGAGGCAACGGCTGTTCGATCGAAACCGAAACCATGCCACTCGGCTCCGTCGTCAACTGGTTCCTAAAACTGTGTGCAAAGTGTAACTGTCCAGCATACGACAAAAAACAGTCCGGCGGCGCGTGCTGGCCAGCCCGGCAGGCGAGGTGCAAGCTAAACAAACGAACAAAAACTTTCAGCCTTTCTGCTTTGGTGAAGAAGGTAGACCAGCGGAGCTCTAGCTTCTATTCTCGGCTTTTCAGGCGAGCGACCTGCTCCTCTTATGCAAGGAAATCTGAATCGCTCGACTCAGTGTAACTTTAGGCGATAGCAGCCTCGCGGCGGTTTCGAAACCATTTGCGTGGAGTTCCTGTGCTACCTACGGTAGCAGAGTTGCGCATTCAGCCTCGGCGCGTGGCCGTAGCCGTAGCGCCGGCTTTCCCTGGATGCTTTGCTCCTCACGTGACTAAATTTGGCGAATAGCGGCGCCGCGCGCGCCGCCGCGCATGGAAAACAGGAGAGGAGGAAAAGGAGGTGGAAAGCAGGGAAACACACGCCGGGGCAAGAGAAACGTCGGCGGAGCGACCGTAATGCGTGGCTTTCTTGCACGCCACCGGATGCTTTGCTCCTTACGTGATGGATCTCGGCGAATAGCGGCGTGGCGGCGCGGGGGAAACAAATGCGCAACTCTGGCTCCCGTAGGGAGCCTATACAGGAACTCTACATTTGCGCTGCTGCGCACTTCGCCGCTCACTCCGTTCCCGCTCTTCTTCCTCTTACTTCCTGGATGGATGGATGGATGGATGAATACGGCTGAGCCCTTTGAATCGGGCGGTAGCTTACACCACCTAGCCATTTTGTTTTACCATTTAAGCTTAGAATATTTAAATGTGAAATCTATATTCACTCCGCAGTGCAAAGAAAGTGAGGCTATGAAACCCCCTTGCCATCAGTGGATAAGAAAATACCTAGTTTTCTCTCGATTTCTGCCACCATTCACTTAATCTTTGCTTGGTAATCTCTACAGTCTTGAAATCCACTCTCCCTTCGCTGTCTCTAAAACCCAATGACTTTATTAAATCTATGTTGTCTTCGGTAGGCATAGGGTGAAGCCCTTTACAGTAGAGTATCAAGTGCTCAGCCGTCTCGTCCTCCTCTCCACAAGCAGTGCACACTGTATCAATTTCCTGGTACTTCACTCTGTATGTTCTGGTTCGCAGAACACCCGTTCTTGCCTCAAACAGCAATGAGCTTCCCCTAGAATTGTCATAAATGCTTTCTTTGGCAATAACTCTTTTGTTTAATCTATAGCTTTCCAGAGCTGTCTTTGTCTGCATTCCCTCTAGCCACCAATCTCTTTCTGTGGCCTTAACTTTCTTCTTAACTGAGACTTGCTCTTCGGTATCTTCGCTATAGCCCAAAAACTTTCCTCTTAATTTCCTAGTGCGCTGTCTCCACTTTGTGTCTACACTCCTCATGTATAAATAGCTGAAAACCTTTCGTGCCCATTGCTCCCCGTCCATTTGCCTCAACCTATCCTCAAATTCTACCTTGCTCACCGCTTCCCTGCTCTCAAATGATGCCCATCCCATGTCTCCTTGTACTCCCTGGTTTGGCGTTTTGCAATGTGCCCCCAAAGCCAGTCTACCTACTCCGCGCTGTTTTATTTCTAGTCTCGCATGCACTTCGGATTTCATGCATAGCACTGCGTTTCCAAAAGTCAAGCCAGGCACCATGACCCCTTTCCAAATCTCTCTCACCACCTCATACCTGTTGTAATTCCAAAGTGCTCTATTTTTCATTACAGCTGCATTTCTGTTGCCCTTACCTATTATATACTTTTCATGGTCTCCGAGATATTCTGCACCATCCGAAGAAATGTTGCCGCCATCTATGAGCGACGGCGGCAACCAGAGTTATGACGTTTTAGCGAACAGCGACATTTCAGCGAATCGACGTTTTAGCGAATAACGGGGGCGCGCGTTAACCCATTCGCCGCGCTGCGCTTACGCCGCTTCGCGGCGACAGTCTGCGGCGGCTCATTACAAAAATGTGAACCCATTTGGCCCACCCGAAAACGGCGCTGCGCGGCGTCTGACTATTCGCTAAAGTGTCATTCGGTGAAACGTGGGTGTTCGCTGAAACGTCATTCGATCAAGTGAGTGCCTCCCTGCGGGGGACACGATCCTGGGAAAACTAGCCCTTCTCCGCTGTAAAAAAGAAAAGGACCTGAGCGCTTCGATGGAAGACATCGCGAGCCAGGGTCAAAAAGCTCTTGGAGCGCTTGTGCAACGACTGAACTCGAGACAAACAAGCGCGCTGTGCGGGTTCAGCGTGCAGACATTGCCTTCTTTTGCTTTAGCTCGCCTCTCTTCATCAACGTTCTCTCGCGGCAGATTTCATGTACCAGGGTCCCTCGAAAGTAAGCCCACCGAAAGAAACCTAGGTAATCAATACTTCAACACAGCAGTCTTTGTAGTAACGTATGATTTAAACAAGAACACGAAATTTTAGAAAGCGCCATATCTCCAGCTACGTGGGGATGGCAACACCCGACGTCCGCGACCACAGTGACTGGAAGGCAGGGAACAAATATAGTTTTCCCACGGCCGTTGCTTTAAGGAGCGAGTGCTTCAGCTCACAAAGTAACTCCCGCCGAGCAAAAACGTGGTTTCGTTCTACAGAATGACGGCATGACTGGTACCTGGCACGCTAGCGTCAGAGCCACGGTGGAAGAAACATTTAGGTGATGACTCTGTCCGACGCGGCGACATTATGTTCTGCGCACAGAGCGCTTCACTCGGACGGGGATAGATGGCGCCCAAGTATGGGATCGGGATCCCTCCCAAATCGACCGCTCTGGTTTTTTCTCCCCAGCGGTGGTCCTGCCATTCCCTCGCTCACCGCCGCTACCAAGTCATCGGAGTTCGTAATTCTGTGTTCTCAAACTTCTTCGGGTTAAGGCTCACCCTCGTGCACGATGCTGGCACTTGTGATTGACACAGCACCAAAGCAAAATACGAGGCCAGCCACTGGCCGCACACCACCACCACACCGCGAAAAAGGCGAGCACGCTACGCCGCCGACACCGTGGCCGCCGAGGGACCTCATACCTCAGCACCCTCCGCGACGGCGCGGAACTAATTACACCTGGTTTGAGGCTCGCTCCCCGCGGAGGGAGCGGCCAGTCGTCACCTTTGTGTTTCTTCCACTGTGGTCAGAGCGTACGCACACACCCACGAAAAAAATTCCAAAATGACGAGACGGCAGGAAAAGCGGCGCAAAACCAGATGGACGATTGATGCAGGGTATTTCCCGTCGGGCGGCCGCTTGTGCCCACGCATGCTCAATTACGATACTCGGTTTAGTTTGTTTTGAAAGGTGACCGAAATTGGTCCTTTGGTGCAGGCTTGGCGCAGATTACCCATATTTTGGCAAAATTCAGTAAGATGTAGCAGGGTTGGTCCTTTGGCGCAGTTTGGCCCAGCAAACACATTACTGGTAGAGACTTCTAGCCCAGACAAGCAATTGCCATACACAGTATATTTATCTTTATCCTGAACTACCTTAAGATATGAAAACTCGTACAGTAAGCTTTGCAGCCCACCTTGGTACAAGACAGTCTCAAAAAAAAAAAAAAAAAACTGCACGAGATATACGAGGCACGACTACATTATGTGAGCACAAAATTATTTGAATCAACGAATTACCTGACCACAGGTCAGCCACATAAAGAATCGAGGCACATCACTTCCAGAATGCCAGCTATGTAAAAACACTCATTTATTCCAGCAAAAACGTGTTTTTTTTTTTTTTGCTCTTCTCCAATACACTAAACAGCCAAGAAAAAAAAATCCTCCAACACGACAAAAAAATGCACACATCTAATCTCACATAACTGTTTCCAATCAGGCACGGATGCACACCAACCAACCACACACCGAAATTTTTTTAAACGCACATCGCACACCAGCAGTTTTTCTTTTTTCCCCTTGAGGTTCCATACGCAACACATAAGAGAGAAAAGATGCACAGACATACACGCTCGGCATGTGCACAAAATCCGCCCAATGCCACCATCTTTTTTTTCCTTTTTTTCTCACGCACACACAACACTCACGCCACATTCTCCCAGATGCTTCACGTAGTGGGTAGCTTCTTCACATGCCTCTCGTGCTTCCGTCTTCCGCCGCGTCGCTGACCCGAAAGACTGCAGAGTCATCTTGCATCCGTCCGGTGGACGTCGCGTGCTCAGACGGTCTAGAAGAGGCACGCTACCTCCCGCTGCACTCGTCACTGCTTCCGGTCTTCCCGCAAGCCCGAAAAATAAAATAAAATCGGAACGGCACAACCGTAGGACTCTGACGGCAAAGACAGCGTTCGTACCGTCGGAAACTCAAATAAGCTACAACGGAAGCGAGTTAATAAATATTGAAACGCAAGAACGTCGACGTCGGCGCTCGACGACGAGTGAAAACGAAAGAGGAAAATCAATGTCGTGGGTTGTGGAACGTCTCTCTTCCAACGTTCTTCCTCTGTGTTCCGCCACAGGTGTCGGCCGCAGGGTCGCAGTTGTCGTCGTCTTCTCAATTCGCATCTTGAAAGCCACGCGCCGTCTGCCCGTGGTCGGGCAGAGTACTCTGTGTTTGCGATGACAGACGCCCCGCGACGAGAAGTCCTCTGTCGGAGGCGTTCGCTCGCCAGGCACGCACGCACACACGCACACAGGCACGCACAATCGCACAGCCACACTGCAGCCAGACCCACGAAGAGCGCCGTTCCTCTTCCCAGCACCGACGGGACGTTTTCGGCGGAGCGGGAAATCCCCACTGGTACTCCGGGAAAGAATTTTAACCTTTGGAAGATTATATGAAACCAACGCTGGATCGAAAATGGATGTTGGGTTGACCGACGTGGAAGCAGTTTCGAACCAACGTTTGAAGTTGGAACAAGCCGGCCGTCGATGTAGGCTGACGCGTGCACGAAGTCGAACCGGCGTTGTGCCGAGGTTAGACGCGCTTGCCTCGACCGAGATTAAGCTGTCAAACGTGGAAAGGACACTGAGATAACCTCTGAACAAATTCTTGAGGATTCGACTCGTGTCGAGTTACATCGAAATTGTCTCGAGTAACCAATCTCAGACCCTCGGCGTCAAGACCGTTTCAAAATCAGACTTCGAAAATCTCGGCACTGATCCAATCTAGCCGACACGACGGCCAACCCTAGCCAGACAGCGGCGGGCGGGACAGACCGCAAGACGACTCCGCGTCTTCGTAACCAGCAACCAGGAGAGGCGACCAAAGCCGAGGCAGACAACCGTCGACGACGCAGCGGAGGCGGTGGACACCAAAATGAAGAAACTCCGTCCAAAAATTTCATCTCTCGCAAAAGCGTGTTTTCGATCAGAGTCGAAGGAGGACGTGAAGGGGGGGTGGGGGGAAGGGGTGGTATGGTAAATATACAGCAACGCAAATATAACTTATGCGACGACAAAAAAAAAAGAAATGACTCGAGAGAGAGGGGCGGGGGAGATGGGAAGCAAAAGCAGGTATAACCACTTCCGCGAGGGGGAAAGGGGGTGGGGGAGAGAAGAGGCTTTAGGGGCAGTCGCACAAACACGCCTGCACTAAGGAAGCGGAAAACCGGCTCAGTCCTGCATCTCTTCTGGGATCTCGTGGGGATTGAGGATTCCTGGAACGAGCATCCTGATCTTGCGCTTCTCTTCTTCTGCTTGCCGCAGCGCCACCTCCCGCTCTTCGAGGAACAGGTCGCTGTCGTCCTCGCCCGTGTACTCCTGCATTCGCGTGAATTGCACCGGTCAAGACCGTCTCAAAAGTAGCCCCCCCAAATCTCAAAGGACAACTCCGTTTCAATTCTGTTATTGAAAACACAGTGCCGTTCTCCTGTGTCATCTAACGAGACTGCCTATTAAATATTGGGATCTAAATACGTCAAAATGTTTCAAATAAAGGGCCGGTAAAGTTTCACATGCACCATGTGGCCGAAATCTGCAAACTCAAGCTGGTTGTGTTCGCCGCAATCAATAACAGTCAGCCAGTAGTGAGCTACGAAGTCAAAGATGTCGCCTTACGTTTCGTGTTGCTTTTTTAGGCAAAGCCTCCATCGTGTGAAAGATTATGTGACTGCACCACATGGTTGGGCATGTATGGTTATGACAATGAAAGACCAATGTTGCCCATTCAAAACACCAGACTTTTCGCGATATATGACACGGGGCCGTTCATTAGTACTTCGCATTATGAAATCAAACATCATCCCAAAATTTCTAGCATAGAGCGGAGCTGCTTTTTAGGACTAATGATAGCATAAGCACCAGTATTTTAAATTGAAAGGAAGTGTAAAGTTGCAGATATTGGGACGTTCCATGAGCCTGCATTAGCAACGGAAAAAAAGAGCTCTAACCAAGGTTCACTTCGAAGCACAGGAGTCATGCATTTAGCCAGGATCGAATCATACAAATTTATCAATTTCGGAAACTAGGTACCGTATCTACAGTAAATACGGTACATAGTGAATACGGTACCTCTGTTTTTAAAATTTGAATATAGGTCAACCTTTTTTTTTTTTAAGAAGAGAGGAAAGGTAGCTCCATGCCCTCGGTAGGGTCACAGAATTTGGTAACGAATGTAGGTCGGAAATATTTAATCGCGATTATAGCTCGACCCTTAATTTTTGACAACATTTCCCCCCCCCCCCCCCCCCCAAAAAAAAAGATAGACTTATTGTTGAATAAGTATGGTAATACGGTGGTGTAGTACTGTCATACTGACCCTGATTTGAACTAGGAAGTCCCGCAAATGCTCCTTGAATGCCTGGATGTCTTGATTCAAGTTGAAGAAGCCCTGGACTGTGATCTTCACTTGTGCGCTGCAACAAAACACAAGGTAAAGTAAGGTTAGTACTAGATTGAATCCTTGATACATTGTCTCAAGAACTCAAAATTGCCCCTCTAATATAACACCTGCGATAGAACAGCTATTTGTTTGTGTATTGATGCCTACCAACAGCAATTTGCCTTTCCCATAGGGCAGTGGTTCTCAAATGGAAGTCCGCAGATCCTTTGGGGTCCGCAAAGGCATTTTAGGGGTCCGCGAAACAATGCCTCATCAGTCAAACCCGGCAATAAAAGTTGTCTTTTTTTTTTTTTTTTTTCCAGAGTGAGAAAAAATGTTAATCAAAATATGAAACATGCACAGTGTTTCCCGATTAAAAGCGTTTGCACAGAAAAAAGAAAAACTGCAACATAGATATTGCTTCAAGATACTAAGATGTAAGTGTTCAGTCGCAAAGTACAAGTGCGTGCATAAAGATAACTCAATTTTTTTTCATCAAATCTACACGTGGCTATATTCGGGTCGCGACTTGCAAGAAAGAACATAATCACAAGTTTGTGCAAGGCCAACTTGACACTCAAAATGTTGGAACAGACAATTTGGAAAGCGCAAGGAATAGCTAAATTGTATTCGGTCAATGACATATTATTCATAAAAAAAACTGAAAAGTAACGACAAAGGTAATGTCGTTACTTTCATCGTTACCTCAGAAAAAGTTAATTGAGCTACAGTTAAAAGTTATATTTTTTAAAAGTAACTCATTGCAGTTACAAGTTACCACAAAAGTAACAAAGTTATGGTAAAGTGTTAATAGCAACGCATTACTACCCAAGACTGGTTTATCGGAGTTAATTTTTTCAGATTCCCCATTCTCCGGAATTCAAAGTCAGTTTTTGGGCCTTGTCAATTTTCCAAAATTTGGAAATAAAAAACTGAAAGCCGTTTACAACTCCCTGTAATACCGAATTAGAGCGCAGCTCTTGAGGAGGAAGAGGGAAGGGTACTGGGGGGGGCGTCAAGTGACCTGGGGGGGGGGGGGTCACGTGACGATGCCGATGATGCCATCAGTGACGTCACTGATGATGTCATCAGTGACGATGCCGATGCGGATTCCGATGACGTCATCAGTGACGATGCCGATGCGGATTCCGATGACGTCATCAGTGACGATGCCGATGACGTCATCAGCGATGATGACGATGACGATGCGGATGTCAGAGACGTCACTGATGACATCATCCGTGATGATGACGATGACGATGCCAGTGACGTCATCAGTGACGTCGCTGATGACGTCATCAGTGATGATGGCGATGACGATGCAAATGCCGGGGACGTCATCAGTGATAATGACGATGACGATGCGGATGCCGGTGACGTCATCAGTGACGAAGACGTCATCGGGGAGGTCACGTGACCTTGGGGTGACCTTGATTACGCCGACGCCGCTCAAGCCGGGAACGGGCCCCTAAGAGCTGTGCTCTAAAATAAACATCTGGATTTGGGTGCCGATACCAAACCAACCAATACACACTCAAGCTTACAATTCATAACTTCTCCAAGAGCCCAAATTTCCAACTCAACGTTTAATGGCACTATCGGCACTTTACCACAATGGAGTCGCAGCAATGGTTAGGCAGCAATACGGCACTACGAAAACACTTCAACGAATATGGTGGCAGGTGCAACCACACGCAAGAGCGATACTCAATTTTAATAAGCGCGAGCTCGGCAGAAGCCACAAGGAGAAAGCACCGGGCTTTCAGCATCCATACTCAGCACGCGCAACCGTGCATGCAAGCATCGTTCAGGGCTACACGCTTCGCATACAGATAAAGTGAAACAAACTAGCACAGCGCAGTACTGCCTAGTTGACTGTAATGGCACTGACTCCGAGAGGTGAGAGAAGGCGGTCTTGAGCAGGTTTGCGACGAAGTCCTGGACGTAGGCCAGGTTGGCCAATCCGTTGGCCTGCTGCAGGGCTGGGTTGAGCGGCACCGTCACCCGGTTCGCCTCCACTATGCTGAACATGTACGCCAAGATGGTCGCCTGCATGGACAGCCCTGGACACAAGTATGTGCGCCGTCAGCGTCAAGTCCAAGAGCCACAACACAATTAAGACCAAGCTCGCTTACAATCATTTCAAAATTGGAATTATCCAACCAGAGAAACGAGAACCTTGCAGGCGTCGCCACCAACTGTTTGTTGCAGTGCTGGGAGAGTTGCATTAACCCGTTGTGCCAACTAAGATAAAAAAAAGCTTGTGTGAATAGCGACTCATAAAGAATGGCACAGCATCATCCGCGTCGCCAGCACTGCAACAACAGCCGGCGTGCACTATGTCGTGGCTTTCCCTCACGTTCCGAGGCCTACAGTCAAACTCAATTCTCCGACGCCGCGCCACTGCGGTGGTGCTGCTGTCGGCTCTGCGCAGGTGCTTTGCCTCTCCAGAATCTGATTTCTGTGCACGCACAATGCCCACACCCGGTGTGGGCAAACGCGGGCTTGTTTACAAACAGTGAGTTGGTCGATAAATGATGCATCACTGGTCAATTCAATCCACCACTCCCCCAAGTCTAAAGATGGACAAAAGAAAAGGTCACGACAAACTGAAGAAAAGCCTAGAAACCTGGTACATTCTTTGCTGCAACACTTCCGATAGTGGTTGCAACGCTTTCATGCACCGCCGTAAGGCTAAGGAAACCTAGCTTCATCATTAGGCAAGCCCTTAGTTGACACCTTTGTTACACTGCCACAATGTCGGGGCAACATAGCTGCAATGCCAAACCAGCCCTTGTGTGCTGCGACACCTTTGCTACAATGCTGCAATGCTGTTCTGTATGCAAGCTCAAGAAAGCTACGGCACCTTGAAAAGCGGCCGCGACGTATCCGTCACAATTTTTCGCGGCTACTTTCCGTCGCAATGTCGTTCCGTGCGGTCACCCACCTGCGGTGTGGGAGGTGTCCGTGACGACGGAGAACAGGTGCTGCATGACGTCCGTGTAGTAGGTCTGGTAGAAGCTCTGTGACGCCATCTCCTCTCCCGCTATGTTCTGCAGCAGCTGGTACAGGATCTGCAGGCCTGGTAACATGCAAAGGCACGCAGCCTCACTGTTAAAAGCGCCGCGCGCTGGTCTTGCCGTCGAGCAGTTTTCAATGCCGACGACGAGGAGGGGAGAACGGCACGGCGTCCCCTCGAATGCCGGACCTCCAGCACGCGCTCAAACTGAGCGTGCACACACGCGGCTTAAGGGACGCCAAAGTGCTTAGGGAAGTAGGAGCCTGGAGACGGGACAACTCAAACTCCTCTCTGCCATTCTCATTGTGTCAGTGACTATGGCAGTTGACTGGTTAGCTGGGTTCAACGCAACATGATATGAAAAAAGCTTTCCTAGAATGAAAGGCCATTCCAACGAGAGATCCCCACCTTAAAATATTTTTGTTATTTCTCGATTATTTTAGCTGGAATTCCTACATTTGATGCAATATGGTGTGTGGTTTAAAAAGCACGACTTAATAGCGAACACTTCTGCCCTCTCAAAACTATGGCCAAGAGGTACTATGTCTATGTTTTACACCAAAACCAGAAAGTGAAACAAAAGCACCCTTACAGCTTTGGGCATCATACTAAAAAAAGCAATCACACATCCTAATTCCTTCCCTAATAATTTGAAATAAAAAATTACAGGTACTACCAGTTAAAAATTTGGTTGGTATGAACACTCTTCGGAAATCTTCACCTTGTTGCATCCTCCAAATGAAGAAGTATCAAACCAAACAAGCATCACTCCAATCCAAGCTCTTCATTCAGAGATAATCACGGTCAAAACATTGAGTTGCGACAAAATACATTCATTTCGACGTAATATTTTCAAAACTCAAAGCATACTCCTAGCCAGCCTGGACATGCGATTTTGACAAAGTGGTTTTGTGGAGTAGTAAGTTTTTTGCTTTTTCCAAGATTGCCACCAAGGAGACTGCATAGACAAAAACGGCTCACCGACGTCGGCGACATTCCGCATTGTGTGTTTGAACGCCCAGATGATGGAATCGAGCACGAGCTTGAACTGTGCAGGAGGAATATTCAGCAAAGCTGGAAGAGAACATTCGGCGTCACACACCTTTCCTTACACAAACAAGCGAAATTCAGCGACACAGACCTAGGCGCCGGATCCGGACGCCAAGGCCGCATTCACATCGCTGATACATCAAATTAAAAATCACGCAAAAGACAGCCTGCCAAAAACGTCCGAGGCGTGGCTCTTTCTTGAATGATGGTCGTGTCACATTAGTCCTACAATAATTGAGTGCAAACATTGCTCGAAGCACACAAACATACGAAGCAAAGGTGCTTCGAAGGTGCTCTAGGCGAGTCCGCAGATAGTCCTGTCATCAGGTCTACAGTAAACACGACGTCTTTTGTGTGATGTAGGATTCATTCGTTAGGCACCGACGTCGCAGCCACCTACAGGAATTAACGCACTGCAGTGACTCATAGCGGGGGCTAGAAACGAGGCTTCTTTACAAACTCAAAGCAAGCAACTCACCGGGGAAGCAGTGAGTAACCACAGCCTGGAGAAGAAGGAAGAAGTTGGTTCTGTGTTCTGGGAACTCCTCAAAGTCCTGCCACAAATAGAAAACGGGCAGAGAAGACAGATCAGGAAAACATGCCGCGTGTTACAGCGACCTCTAAACTGTTAGTTCCGAGCGCACTTCTCCGAAAGTGCTCGGCCACTGGGAATAAAAGGGCGTTAGACTCCTGGACAGTTTGCAGAAATAACAGTGCTGTCGTAAATGTGCTAATCAACGAGCTTTGTTGAAATTGATTAAATACTTCGGAAAACGCAGTCGAGAGCTTTAATTTGGTGATTTACAAACTGTTAGGTCAGTCTAAGCTCGTTATAGCAGACCCTGATTTTGACCAAGATTTCGGTCTGTTGTAAGAGGAGTACGTTGTATAAAGATATGAAGTTGAGTCAATGGTATGTAGAGGAAAACCAACCAAACTTCATAAATCGGTATGTTACATCCAAATGTCTGTTGTAACCAGGTCTGTTGTAACGAGCTTAGGCTGTAATTAGCTCAACTTGACCCATGAAAAAGTGGGGAAGTAATGCGGTCAAACACCGAACCAGAAATGGGTGGAGGCGGCAAGAGCCAACTGTACCTTGTTGATCATACTCAACGTGCACTCGAACACCGCGTCGAAGATCTTGGGAATCTCGCAAGTGATGAAACTCTGCGAGCAACAAAGAGAAAATGGATGCTGTCACGCACGGGCCACTAAACGAAACAAAAACGCCTGTTGGCAACACTGTTGCCTGGGAATTCAAAGGACTAACCAAAGTGTACCTTAGTCCTACAGAAAAAGTTGGGATACGGTATGTTCAGTGCGTTTTGAGCTGTTAGGTTAACAAACAGTGCCACCCGACTTCACATCATGACATTACAACCAACCATCTGACCATGTCACATGACATGACCATGATGTCAGGGTGTCACGTGACTTGACATCAAGTAACATCGCAACCATGTGATCATTTCACATGACATGACAGTACAGTGTTGTCACAACATTCCTCTCTCACATGACCTCACGTGACTTCAGCTCATGCGACATCATAATGTCGTGATGCAGAGTCATTCAGTCACAAGATGACTGCCACGCTGATGACATTGTGTGAACACTGTTCGCTAAATGTAGCGCCGACATAAAATCGCTAACATTGGTGAGCGTGCCACAGAATTTCGTGACAGTTTCCTGTGATGTCACCTCATCTTTTCCTCAGAACTCCCAGAGGTTATTCTTTGTTGAAAATAAAAAGGAGGAAAAGGTAAAAAGAAAGTGCTCACCTCTAACCGGTGCACAATCATGGACATGGCGGAGAGTACTTCAGGTTCCCGGGCAGACGGCACCGTGCACCGCTGGTAGTCGAGGAGTACCGCATCCAGCAGCGGGGGAATGAAGTTTTCAAGCACCTGGAAGTGTGGGAGAAAGACAAGAGTGTGGAGAGGTTGTTAGGGCTTTGCAACTCCACCGCACGGAGCAGTCCTAAACTCTGCCGAGTGTTCCTTGGGTGGGCAAATATTTTGGAGAGTGAATACAATAGATGCGGTAACCTCAAAATGATTCGGTTCTGTCTCGGAATTCTCTACATGATGCTATGGATACAGTCTAAGCTCGTTATAACGAACCTTGATTTTGAACAAGATTTTGGTCTGTTGTAAAAGGAGTATGTTGTATGCAAATACGAAGTTGAGTCATTGATATGTGGAGGAAAACCAGCCGAACTTCACAAATCACTATTTTATATCTAAATGTCTGTTGTAACCAGGCCTGTTGTAATGTGCTTAGACTCCGTGAAAGCTCACCACAGAAAATGAAGCAAGTGTGGCATAATAGATGTTACGCGCACGCACTCTCACCAACTTCTTTTACTTATCATATTTACACACAATTTGTGAGCTTTTTTTTTCAATTTGAAGCATAAAATAAAGTGCATGATCTTGTGAACGTGTGACTCATAGTGGCATAGAGAGTATAACAATAGTAGCATCCTCATATTCCCATAATATTACGTACATTCCATCTCGCAAATACCGCAAAACCATAGCTCTAGTGCAGGGGTTCGCAAACTGGATTCCACGAGCTCGTCTCATCGGTTCCACGAGCACCCGAAATTCAGTAACCCCTCCCCCCCTAGTTTAACCTTCCACGGACTGAGTCATGGATTGAATCGGTGTTGTGAAAAGAGCAATCTCACCCTTCGCACTAATATGCATATACATTCTACACTGTGCCCCAGGTTAACCTCTCTGCCTTCTTATTCTGTCTGTAGTACTCCATTTTGTCTTATTCCCATCAGTGCAAAAACTCTAGTTCACTATCTAAATGCCTTTATTGCCCAGTACTTTTGGTTGGCAACAAGAGAGGAAGGGGGGGGGGGGGGGGGGGTTTCTTTGGGACTTTTTGAGGCTCGCTGGGGTTCCCTGGGACAAAGTTTGAGAAACTCTGCTCTAGTACAATGCGGCTCAGGGGTCGCCCTATAGATGGCGCCAGCGTACCAGTCTCTTCTCTCATCTTAAGAGATTGGAAAAGCTTGGTTGTAAGCAAAAGCAAGTGTGCAAACAAGCCTTAAAAAACCACTGAAAAGAAAAAAATGTTTTTTTTAAACGATCTAATTGGGCACGTGTGACAAAAAATTGATTTTACCAAAAACCTGTTTGTTTAGCAATATTGGCGGCGCGAGATTTATTTTCAATTCTGCAAGCAGTCCATCACGTTACAGAATGGTCTAAACTCTTTCCATCCCAACAATATGGTCAGACACTCTCTCCACTTCAACTGGTGGCAAAGCCAATCCACCTCTCCTCCATGCACCAGAAATGCCCAGAAAGAGAACAAATAGAAAATAGGTGACTGCCGACTATATTGTGTCTCGTGCCGTCCATACTGCCCTAAAAAAAAGGGGTTTTTTTGTTGTTTTTTTCTTGGCGTAAAATTTATTTTTTGACACGCACGTCCCTGTTCAAAAAAAAATTTTTTTTTTTTTGTGTGTTTTTTTTAGGTTAGAGCGATGCGGCGCCAATGCAAATCTCAACACCACTTTCATTCAGATGCATTCTGTGCTTAAAAATACAGAAAGACGAAGGGACACCTGAATGGCTCACCATCTTGGGGTCGTTGGAGCGTGACACCCATCCCGAGATGAGCTTGAGGGTCTCCTTCTTGACGGTGCGCATGGAGCGGATGAGGGGCTGCTTGGTGACCACCTCCCCGTTGAGGGCCACCGCCGCACTGATGTTCTCGCTCATCACCTTGTACACGTTGAGCATGTCCAGGTAGATGCGCCCCAGCTGGGTCACGTAGGGGTGGCCCAGGGCCTTGCAGGCTCGCACATTCGTCTTGAGGATGTTGCCCAGCTGGCGCACCGCATCCGCGTCCTTCAGCACGTCCACATTCTGCGTGTGCGCCACCAGGGAGAGTTCAGTCCTGGCATATTGTCACGGCGTGACCTAGAAGCTTTGGGCCCACAGTGCACGCGAGACTGATTTTGAAAAAGGCGGGCAGTCATTGGGGATGAGGTACCACCTCACATTCCTCACCAGAGGCAAGATCTAAGACAAGGTCCTCGAAGATTAGATCCTATGACAAGATTTTAAAGGTAAGATCGTGGACAAGATTTTCATACCTTATTTTAGACAATGTCCTCAAAGATAAGGTATCTTAACAAGATCCTCAAAGATAAGGTATCTTCGACAAGATCATCATCAAATGTAAAATCTGATCTTAGACAAGAACTTTCAAAGACCTTAGACACAACCTATAAAGATGATAACTTATCCTTGATGAGGCCCTCGAAGGTGAGATCTTACCTTAGACAGGGTCTTCAAAGGTAAGATTTTATTCCAGACAAGTTTTTCAAAGATGAAGTCTTATCTCTGACATGATGCTCCATTAAAACAATATCAAATAAGATAAAAGATTACTTTATGAGATTATCAAAGATAAGACCTAACCTTAGACAAGACTGTTCAATAAGATCTTAATGTCAATAAGATAGTTAGAGATAAGACTTCACCTTTAGAAAAGATTGCTATATAAGAACTTAGCCTCATTAAGATCAGACATAAGACCTATAGACAAGACCTTATCTATGATCGTCCACCCTCATATAACGTCATCTCGCGGACAGTCGCCAATTGTAAGAACAATATCAAGCGTGCATTGGTCCCCTGCGGCCCCACGCCTGTCACCCAAAAGGCAAGAGCATGCACAGAACGATTCGCCTCCCAAAAGACGTACCTTGCTGGCCTGTTTGATTATGTCGTCCCAGACCTGGTTGGGCAGCAGCATGTAGCGGTCGACCAGGCGTTCCTGCACGGCCTGGTCGGCCTGGGCACTGATCATGTAGCCCACCGCCTCGCAGAAGGTGTGCACCTGCTGGGGCTGCAGGTCGTAGATGATCGAGCTCATGTTGGCCAGGATCTCCTCGATGAAGGGCACCGCCTCGCCCACTTGCACTTGCACAAAGTGCCTCCGGCATTTCTGGGCGATCTTGATGAAGGTGTCGCACGCCATGTCCTGCACCCCTTCGTGGGTTTCTGGAGCAGTCAAAAAGGAAACGGGGTTCCCAGTCATCTCTTTGAGAAGCAGGGCATGCGCCCGTGCAGGCCAGGAAACCTGCGCTTGCGGCGTGGCTCCGGCCTGTGGGTCGCTGCTTTCACTGAAAGCTTACTTCGCTTCAGGCATAGGAAGGACTAATTCCTTCTCTCCCTAAGGCACAGTGTAAGATATATGTTGAAGTGGAGAGATTTCTGGTGCGAGGTCTAAGCCCGCGCATGGCAAGGTCCCAGCAGACGCGCCGAGCAGGAGCGTACACGACCAGGTGCCATGGCAATGAGGCACTTTTTTTCTTTTTCAATTTTTTCTTTTGGTTGCACTGTCTGACCAGTGGAGACGCTGTCAGCCAAGGCTACTCGGGCGCACGACAATAGGACTTTATCTGGTCTACCGGGTCGTAGCGCTTGCTGTGCAGCGCATCCTCACCTGAAGACTATCTTGCATTGTGCTCTAATGTGACCCGCAGCAAAAGCTACATGCCTAAACTAAAGCCCCTCGATGCGTCCATGCTCGTCTTGCAAGCGACGTCAAATGCACCGAAGCACGAGGACCGTGCCTCGTGTGGCCCTTAGAAGCAAACAACGGAGCAGCACTCGCTCGTGGCACGTGTCTTCTGCATTTGCATGACGAGAGTTGTCGGCATACTTGAAAAAATAAAAGTGAAGGATATATTTTATCAGGGGGTTAGAGCTTGAACAGGTACTGCGGAGCCGAAGTACAGCGAGTTCGCTAGAAACGAGAACAGAGTTTTTCGGCTTGGGTAAATAAACGAAGCGTCGCAGAAAGCTCAAACTTCGTGAGAATCTGATGCCAGCGGTTGGGATAGAATGCTAAAGTTTAAAAATATGAAGTCATCTGGATCAAAAGATAATTAAGAAAAACTAAATTTTTCTTTGAGCCAATGTTTAGCTAAGCCTAATATCGGCAAGACAAGAAACAACACTATCGGTGCCGGTAGTATCTATTACAGTGAAAATAAATTGTCAGCAAGGAAAACATTATCCCCTTTAATGCTGACAACTTTTTTTTTCACTGAAAAAGATGCTACATGCTCCCAGTGACATTCCTTTTTTTAACGATATTAGGCTTACATGGACGTCGGGTCTTTGAAACTTTTGTTTCTCTAACCGCCAGCGTCCCATTCTCACGAAGTTTGAGCTTTCTGCGATGCAAAGTTCATTTACCCGGGCCGAAAAACACTGTTCTCGTTTGTCGGAAACTCCCATTAAATCCTCAAGATTGCGCTTATGGTCCTTGCTGCAGTTGATGCTAAGGTTACAGAATGTAAACGTGAAACAAAAGGAGCATGGCAGCTACAAGCAGCAGCAATAGACAATGCAGGTGAGCCGTTGGATATTTCTTGCAGATTCTCCAGAATAATGGAAACAAAGAAAAATACAAGAATGCCTCAGCTACTGTTGCGTTTGAGGCCTGGCTCGTGACATATAGTACCCACGAATTAAATGCAAAAGGTAAAGTAGCTAAACAAAGTACCATATGCCGCTTCACCAGCCCTCCACGGGCAAAATTCTACGATGATCCCAAGTCAGACGCTGCGATTCTTAGCGCCTATATGCTGTCTTATTGAAAATGTAAAGCAATTAATTTATATAAAATGAATTAAATTGCAGAAGAGTGTCCCTCTTTATACAAAACTCCTGCTTGTTGAGAGACGTGGAGATTAATCCCCCTCCACCAGAAAAACTGCATTTTACAAGGTGCCTTTCTCCAGGGGGGCAGAAAAAAACCTCGGCACTCTCTAAGAGGCACTAAAATGCTTTTTGAGATCGTTGTTTTATGGTCGCAACTCAATCTACGGGCTCCAAGCCTCCTAACAAACCCAAAATTACATTCATGCGTGGCCAATTTGCGTATTAAAAAAGTGAACTAAAGATCCTGACACTTACCGTTGGCGCAGGACGACAGATGGCGCTACCGAATCTTGATGAATTGTTGGGATCTTTGATCACTTTTCCAATGCTTACAGCTTGTAGACTGTGTTACGACAATGAACGAGGATCTCGAAAAGCACTTCAGTGCCTTTTTAACATTATCCTTTGCTACTAAAAATAAGTCTGTGCCAACAACAAACTTTATGAAGATTAGAGATTTAAACACTCTGCAATGGTTTACAAACTGCTCCCCGTGCATGCCATAATAAGGTTACCTTGTTCGCCGGTTGGTCCAGTAGGGAACACCACCAAGCAAATGGCGAAAAAACCCAATATCTGTAATGTCAGCTTTTCTTCATTCTACCAATTCACAAATTTATGTCAAAATCCACAAACTTCATGCTACACGGAAACTGATGGGCGACTAACGGTTACAGTTGCTGGGCCTATGATAGTATAGCAGGTGCTATCAAGCATTCATCCAGTCCTGGTCCCAAAGGCGGTTGGTTACCCTACCCTTAAGCGTGTCAGCTCAAGAGTTTGGCCTTACCATTACCTTCATCGAGATTGTTTCCACTTCACCAAAATTCCCTAGTGCATAGGCTCCATGATGATTTTTGTAAACTCAGTCAATGGTTCCGAAGATCAAGTAAACATGCCCTTTAATAGATTAATATGCTAGTCACATATTAACAAATGTGTGTACATGCCACAAAACCCCACATTTTTATTGACTTATGAAATGAAAATTTGATATAGTGGACATGGCAAGTGGCCACGGTTTGCGAGACAGCTTCCAAACTCAGCATTAAAAGCTTTTTGCTGGGTTTAAAGTATTAAGAAATAACAAAATGCTGTAGCATGTGCTGACATCCGAGAATGAACTAGCCGAGAAATTACTTTTAATGCGGAAACCAAAAATATAAATCACTCGCCACCCTTAAAAAATAATTGCAGAACCACTATAGTCCGATGCAACTCAAGAAGGTAGGGTGAGAGAAAGGAAGGCCGGGGAGGGGCAAAGAATGCAGAAAGCTGGAGAGGAGGGGGAAACCTCCGCTCTCAAGTGTTCTGCCTGCCTCCTCCTCCCCAGCTTTCCTTTCCCTCACCCTACCTTCTTGAGTTGCAACGGACTGTAGTACCTTACTTATTTTTCGTAAAAGTACAAGAGAAAATTTCAACAATGTTTTCTCCATATAATAGTATCTAAGGTAGAATAAAGAACACTGCTTACAATACTTTAACATCGTACCATTGAGCCCACCACCAATAGTGATGCATTTTCACAAAGACATCTAGAGGGACCCAAAAGCAGCATTCAGCAATGATTCGCACAAATTATACGAGTCACCACACAGACACCAGCCAAACAAGTTTAAAGGTTTATTCACTTAAATCCAGTCAAACAAACACACACATCTTTCAACCACACTTTTACAGCAGAGGCGCCATGCAAAGGAAGCCGCAAACACAGAAACCGCAGTCCTAGACCAAGCATTCACAATCTTTTTTTTAAATAATATGACGCGAAGAGCCATCACCTCTCGAAAAGTCCAACCACGCAAGTCCGCACTCACACACCACTCACACCTCGCAGAGTCACAGTCACGCAGTTCACATTCTTGCGCACATTGTCCACGGGCAAATGATCACTTCTAGAATGTTATCACCACTTAGAAAGACGAGAGTTCTGTCCAACTGTCATGCCACTCCCACACATACCGCACAGCGCGGGATGAAGCACTCCAAATTTTCAGGACATCCACACAACTCGGAGAAGAAAAGCCACGTTAAAGTATCACAGTGAATTATAAAGTTCTGCGCAGATCTCACATCTTGGAGTATTAATTGAAACCCCTCACAACCTACTGCCAAAAACTGAGCGACGAAAGTGGCTGAAAAAAATCACACAAAATGTAATCACCGCAAGAGTGACAATTAAGATGGATGGAAAGAAGACCAAGCTTAGCAGCAGAGTAAAAATGCCCACAGGCTATGCTAGATACTTACCTTTGAACAGATTAAATTTCAGAACTCTTAGTTGGACCATATCTTTCCAGGCAAACCAGTCAGTTCTAGCCCTTTACTAATTCCAAGTTTTTTTTTTAGTTTTTAACAAGTATCATGTCTGAGGAAGCCAGCTGCAGCAAATGCAGCCATAAAGACACACAAAAGCTCATCAAGCAGATTGTGAAAGTGAACTAACAGAACTACATTCAACTCCCATAACAGCTCTCAAAGCTTTACAATAGGCAAGCCTGAAGAACTGGCACACCTACGGCTCATATCCTAAAAGCATCAAAAAGGGGATATTGATAATAGCAATTTTCAAAAGTTCAAGACAGTTCACCAAACTGTCCTAGTGAGACAAAAAAAAAAAATGCTCTGTGGTGCCTACTTTATATGCCAAAGTCAACAGGAAAGCACATCCTTTTGCATGGAAACACCTAAGAAATAACACTGTCAGTTACACCATGTACAGAACCGTGCAGTGAATTTCGGTAGAGCCTTGCACTTGCAGCATTGTTTTAAGACGGCCATACCAAGGAGAGTCAGCGGTTGAATTGCACCGGTGCAGATTTCTATGATTGCTGCAGTGTGATGCAGACCAACAGCAGTCATGCTGGACTAGCGAAATTGCTCCTACACTCTACGGATGAAGGTCACCTTGATTCATGGCAAATTAACTTGAAGATATGTAAACGTCCATAAAACCAAGGATAATAACTTTTGAAGACAGCTGTAATCATCAAACACAACAACTGTGGCGGTTCGCTAGAGCTTTGTTTCATACGACCGCTTGCAGGCTGACAACTGTACAATCCACAACCAATAGGGCACATTTACAAAAATAAAAATTGCCGTCCTTGCGCAAATTCATCAAAGAACTTCTGTATTGTAGAGACAGCTAAAAGGGGCATTACAACAATTTTAAGTTTGAAAGAATTTGCAGCTTGTATTTTTTTATACTGGTTATCTAGGCACAAAGGAGAAAAAAATGAGCCTCCTTCCCCCGAAAACTTGCTTTTCTGCTCCGTAAGTGACACCGCTCAAAGGACCATGTGAGAGTTGAGAGGCACTTTGACCCTCGATTTGTTTTGTTTTCTTTAAATAAAAACTAGCGTGCACACAAAAAAAAAAAAAAAGATTATTTCTTCTTTGTTTTATATGTGACATATAGATTATTCAACACAGTTATTTAGCCCAAGTTCTAAAATCGTTGCATCGCCCCTTTGAGGGGAGATCCCAGTCTTAAAACAGGAAATGACAAAAGAAAGTTATTTTTGAACATGTTTTTTTTTTTTCTTGACTTATTATAAGTCACAAACAACATGTATTGTGAGTACTACACTCAGAAAGAACACATTTATACAGTTACATCGATTTAAAGTTTTATATCCCGGGTAGAAAAAAAAACTCAAGACGACTTAAAATTGTGATTTAGATTGCGATTTAAATCGGACTTGTTTTACATGATGGTTAGATCAAACCTTCTCCACAAAAATAATCCCAAAATTATTCTTTTCATTTGATCATGATGTAGAATAGCCGAGACTGTGGTAAACACTGAAAACCTTGGTCGAAAAAAAAAAGAGAGGGGAAGTTTCCCAGTTTTTACCACAGTCTCGAATATTCTACATCATGATCAACTTCCACCAGCTCGTCTGCACACTCACTGTTTTTTCTTCTTATTTACCGTTTATCTATTATTTGATGCTTTTATGTGTATTTCTTTTTATTTAAATCCAGGAATCATAGAGCAAGAAAAATATATATCAGGCTGAACACAAGCACAAAGCAGTGGTTTCTCAGCAAGCCTGAACTAAAAGATATTGAGCTTTTTTGGTCATACTATGGGGGTTTATTGAATAAAAAGTTGTTACTTAAACTGTACTTTAAATTTGCAGTGACTCTTTCTTCCGCAGTGTTTTCAGAAATCAAAAGGATTGATCAACAATTTGTCATGTTTAAAAAATCTATCTAGGCAGTAATTAAGAAGCACTATTTTATAGGTAGGATTAAAATCACATTATTCTGGTTTAAACCAAATAATTTCTTCTTACACTTTGGTTTATAAGCATGTTTTGAAAAGCTTTTCCAATTTTCTCAGAATTAATATTTTTCATCACAACAGAAAGTTTTGCCCACAGACCTCTGGATCCAAAGCTTGGACCCGAATACTTTTTTCAGGGTTTAATACCTTGCAAGAACATAAGAGTAGGTGTGAAAATTCCATATAAAAAAAAAGGAAAATGGCAAAGACCAGGGTCTGCCCATAAAATAAAAATTTGACTCAATGTATAGTTCTACAACCTTAATCATATATATTTTTGTTTCTTTTTAACATCTGTTTTGTTACTATATCAATATAGTAGTTTGGGTGACTATGATACAATCACAGGCATGCCAGCAAAGTTACGATAAGCTTATATTCGGGTACGAAGACTTTAAGCAACCTCGAAGTATAGAGAAGTATTTTTTTTCCTTTATTGGCTTTCCAATTTGGACTGCCCCCTGGTCATCCTCCTAGATAAGAACCCCCCCCCCCCCCCCCCCTTGACTTACCTGCTCGTGACAGGTTAAAACTAAAATGGAAGCTCCTCCCACCTCTTTCCACTTCAGTAGAGCAAAGACTGGAAAGAATGATCTTCAGCTCTCGCTCTGCTAAAGTAGAAAGGGGTGGGGCGGACTCCCTTTGGACTGTGCCACAGACTGTAAACGCTCGACTTGTGGAATTACTCCCCCACTGTAAAAGAGCGTCCCCAGAAAAGCCGACTCACCGTGCATGAACTCGAAGAGCTTGTTGACGACGGTCTTGAGGAACTTCCAGTGGGCCCGGAGGAAGCGTGGGTACTGGCCCACAACGTACATGATGTTGGAGGCAATGATGGCCTTGTTGTCCTTGCCCCTCTTCTGCTCGCACAGCCCCAGCAGGTCCTTGATGACCGTCACCAGGAAGCGCTTCTCGTCCTCCTCGTGCATGGCCCCGCTGATCGAGCCAATCGCCCAGCACAGCTGCACCAGGGCGGGTAACGATTGGGTCACGCGTCCGCTCGGACGAGACGCAACACTCGACCGGTCCTGTCTCACATAATCAGGTCATGCGTGATGTGGACCAAATGATCGGGACGTACGACGTGACCAGGATGCATGAATGGTCACACAAGACTAGGTCATGTTTGCCATGAGTAACATAATTGGGACATGTGACATAGCAGGTCATGCGACTGGTTGCATCAACATGAGTGAGGCATGTTGGACGAGTGTTTGCACATTATGTGACCAGGTCGTGCGACTTTTCACGTCCAACATGACTAAGATGTGCGTTACATGGCCGGATCACACGAATGGTCCCATCCGACATGACAAAGAGACGTGTTACGTGACCAGGTTGTTGGCCCCGTATGATGCAAACAGGTCACAAGACTGGTCACAAGCGACATAGCCAAAACATGCGAGTGGTGACGTGTGGCTAAGTTACGGCCAGGGCACGACTGGTGATGTTGCGGAGTGCACGACTACACTTTATATACCCGATTATCACAACTCAAACGTGTCACAAGTGAGATTTTAAACGGACATGCCTCGTGAAAGTAGACCAGAAGCCGTGGCTCACCGTGTTGAGGTTCTTCCAGGACCACTCTGTGCCATTCACCTGGTAGTGCAGCTTCTCCGTCATGATGCGCTCCGTGTCCATGTAGTCCAAGTGCGTCAAGTATACTGCAGACATACCAACATCAAACAATTCCTAAAAAGTCAATCCAGACAAGCGAAGAGTGTCCCGTTTCTGCCGCATGAAGTTCACCTAATTCTAAACATGACACCTAGTTCCTAAAGAAAGGACATTGCCAAACCGAAGTCTACCTCCGGAGTTCACATGCCAAAAAAACAATGGCGAATCAAAAGCGGAGAATGGTCGTACTCACCCAGCGTCTCACGCATGTTCTTGTAGAGCTGGATGGCGTCCGTGTCCTTCATGAACTCCCGCACCACCTCACCCTGCTCATTCTCCACCACTATCACCTCCTCCGGCTTCGCCATGCGCCCAATCATGATGTAGCGGAGCTGCGGGGGCGAGACAAGAAAGCATGAGCTGAACCCGAAAAACAGAGACGTCCATTGACGCCGATGGTGCTCCGAAGCTAGAAAAAAAAGCTAGCTTTCGACTGGGGGCGTTTTCTTTTTTTAGGCTTTACAGAGTTTTGGGAAAGCTGCGCAAGTTACAACTAAGCAGTCTGTGAAGGAAAATTATGCAGCCAGGAGAACATAATGTGAGGGTCTAATTGCCAGGACAAGTCAGATATTTTAATTAACGAAAGATTGAAAATAATTGCGTCATAAACTACTCAAAAATTAAATTTTAAAAAAACATTAGGAACATGTGGGGAGCACAGTTGTGCGCCAAGGCCGCCACTCGTCGAAGGGGCACAAGTATGGCGGTGTAAAAAAATGGAGATGTATCGCACGCGTTTTCGCACCAGCAGCCTCGCATCCATATCACGAGCACTAACTTTGCCTCACCGCCACGCTTTTCACGCACTCCAAACCTCTCTCAAACTTGGCGACACAGCGGTCCCCGACGTTGCTCGGCAAGTTTCCAATTGAAGATGTCTATTGAGGTACGCACCGCACACGTAAAGACAACAACTTCCGAGCACGCAAAAGTCTACCGGTTGCTGGCGCTGCCGGAGTCGAAAAGACGGGGGAGGTACGACTGACGCCGGTTTGAGCTTTTTGCTATGGTCTCGTTTGCGGCGACCAAAACAGCAACGATAAGGACGCCGGGACGACAGCGACTCGCAACCGCTTCACAAAGCTACCTCTTGCACAATTCACCACGTTCCGTTCGGGAAGCGGCTGTCCCAATGACCTCCTTGCCGCAGTCTTTTCAGTCACCCCGAACACAACCCACACTAGCGTCCGAATCGGGGTTCACGACCGACCCACCTTGGTGAGCACGGGCCCGTAGAGCAGGCGCCTGGCGGACTGCGGGGAGCTGGCAGCCCGTCCCCCCGGGGTGCAGGGCCCGCTGCCCACATAGAGCGGGGCCGCCGTGCCCAGCCCGTACGGGATCTCCCGGTACAGGTCCGAGGCCAGGGCGTTCCAGTACTCCAGGCAGATCTTGAAGATCTCCACCTCCTCCACCTCAGAGATGAGCAGCAGGTAGTGCAGGGCCTGTCCGGGGGTTGGAGGGACGCGGCACAAACGTGCGAGACACGCGTTTTCAGAGTGCAGCACACAATGGGCAGTCGGTGGCTGAACGGTACGACACCAAAAAGAGCCAAGCTCAATATATAGGGGGTCGGCGACTACACGCGTGCTCGTAAAGTGTCACTCAAGACATGCTCATGCTTCTCGCACCAGCTTCGCTCACATTCATAATGAAAGAGGCTATAAACAGTCGCCGACCGATTTTCCAGAGTTTGCAGGGTGCAAAAAAAAAAAAAAGTCTGAATAATAGAGCACTCTGAAAAATCGACAGATTAAAAAACTTGCCTCCATTACGTCCGAACGGGCTTAAAAGAGCCATCACTAGAGCCTTGCTTCAGGTTACACCTCTGCATGCGTTCGACCACTTCCTATTAGCTTGAGGATCGCTGCCTTCTTTTCTAGCGTTATGGTCAAGTACTTTTCGTGCTTGTTAGCGACACTTTGCTGCCGCGAAAGAACAGGTGGTGCCATGATGTCCAAGCCAGCGTAGTCAGAAAACATGATTCACCGAGGCAAGATGAGACGCAAGTCCACGACTGCAGAATGGCGAATGAAAAGAGTAAAATGGTAACAATGACGCTAGAGAACTAGAGAAGCTAGAGAACAAAAAAGGCAGTAGCATAGCATCACCTAGCGGTAGGGGTTAGCAGTACTCAAGTAGCGCTGCCAAACCAAGTCAATCCATGTGTAACCAACATAGAAACTAAGATGGCGGCTTCACGATGGTGTTTCCCGCTGATCGCCTGCGACGATTTTGTTCGAAAAATGTAACTTTCGGACTCCAAGTTGTCCGAAACATTGGTCGTGAATACGCGCTACTGCTATCAGGTAGGTCACTGCTTCTCCTTTAGGTCCGATATGTCGAACAAATCAGAAATATTGGCGTACGAAAAATCGGTCGGTGAGTGTAGATACTGTCAGTTAGCAATCTCCTATAGATGCTCATTCGCAGGAGTTGCGCCTTTTCCCCCCACTACAAATGTTTGCTGCCGGTTGATGAAAGCGTCACCTTTGTCGCACACTATGGCTGCTCCCTGGACCTCAGTCACGGAGACGCAACAGTGTGCAACGTAGCTACAGCTTAGATCTGTCGGCAACGAACACTGGGGAGAAAGGAAACCCAATATGTCTCGAATATTTGCCAACCGAGCCGATCTGGTAACGTCCACTTCCTGGTAAGACACGAGTTTGGCGGCAACGGCAGCCGGCATGTCCCACTCACGGCCTGCAAGATCTCGCGCAGGTCCGTCCGTTTCTCCACCAGAGCCCCGTGCTCCTTGAGGAAGGTGCACAGGAACAGGCTCAGGTTCTGGATAAACTTCTGCTCGTCGTCTTGGCCGTTCGAGTAGGCCTCCTTGATCACCGTGGAAGGAGGCAGCATCTGCGAGTTCAACCACAGAGCAAGCTGCTGTTTACGTGCGTCTCCCTCTGAAACACTTGAACACACTCTGAGAAGTCGCCGGGCTCCTAGATACCCAGTTCGAGAGCCCATGGTCTTTGGTACAGAGGAGCTTTGCCTGCTCTTAAATTTCGAAAGTTTACAGAAAAAACCAAACTTCCCCCAAGAAGAAACTCAGCTTCTGCAGGGCTAAGTATGCCAGCAAAACTTTTAGCAAGGTCTCGAGAAAGCATACATGCTACATGCTGTGTAATCTCGTGCTGAACATGCCCTCGTCTAAGCGTGTCCACAGAAGGCATGTCTAGCGGTTCATACCTGTTCCAGCTGCGCCATGGTCTGCGTGAAGAGGAGCACAAACATCTCGTCGTAGTGAGACGCGTTGACCCCGCTGATCTCCGTCAAGCACTTGAGGGTCACGTTGCGGAACAGCGGCACGTTGAGGAACTAGGGGGGGACACGGGGATGCTAATTAGTGGCCACAACTCGTTAGCTTATTTATTTATTATACACCCAAAGGCATTACGTAAGGGTGTACTACAAAACCAAAAGAACATGAAATACTAACATTAACTTAGTAGAACACATCAAATAAATTATATCATGCAACTTGTTACCCCTTGATGGAAAAGAGCAAGACCAGCTTGTTAAGATGGAAGCTAAGGCAAGTTTCAACAGCCCAAAAACTACAAGGACGGAAAAAACTAAAAGGACAAACAAGGGCACTGTCTTATAACTCTTGTGTCTTCCACTTTTATGAGAAGCAACAAAGCACAAAGAAAACGAAAAGATGCCCGTAGGATTTACATACATCACATTATCATCAGATCATTGGCGATGAAAATAATTGACTCTGAGAGGTCGTACTTGTTCCAAATTGCCCAGGTATCGTCATTTGTCACCAGCGCCGACAATAAAGTATCGTCCTCACCTTGTAGATGAGGGTGCTGATGAGTTTGGTCTCAAAGATGTAGCCGAGCGGTATCCAGTTGAGAAACCGCAGCAGCGTCTCCAGCGTCGCGTGAACCAACAGAGCATTTTGGGAGTTTTCCTGTCGATAACGACAAAGGGTAAGCAAAACTAACAGAGAAAACCGGAAACTTAAAACAAACGCGTTTGGTAACGCTACGCTTTCGTTGAGTCATTGGCACAACCTTCATCTTTGCCTCTGGGAGAGAAAAAGAACAGAAATTTCCAGTTCTATGCTGTGCCCAACAAACTACCTGTAGCGACTGCTGCGACACTGCACACTGCGGCTCACAGGCTACATACAATTACACTGCACACAGTGTCGTGCGACCTGAAGGTGTCACGTGACATCGCAATGCCACGTGACCATGTCACCTGACTTCACTATATCGAGCGACGGCATTTCCAAGCTAAGCGGCGGAGTTTTCCCGCGAAATTCGGCATAGAAATTTCCTAGCCACGACTCGCACGCTGCGAAACTTCGCCAAGGACAACTGTTGACGTAAGGACGAGGGAAGGCACGTACCATGACGAACTGGCAGAGCTGAAATATGTGGGAGAATTCGCTGCACATGGTGTCCTTGAGATGCTTGGCCTTGGCTTGCGTCATCTGGCCGCTCGAGAAGTCAAACACCTCCTCGCTGGACAAACAAATGCGGTGTCGGCATCAAAAACACGGTCAAGGTCTAATGGGGACGCCCTCAAATTGTGCTCGGCGTCAACTCGCGCAACACTGACACGGCTAGCACGGTTTCCGCTGCACCATCAGAGCTACTCGTGGGAGCACATGGCTTTCGCGCAAGAGCATGTGCGAATGGAACACGAAACAAAGCCTCCCACCTGCGCAGCATTATGGAAATTGGGATAGCCTCTAACTTGTCGCACACAAAAGTCGACCCAGAATATAGGCTTTTGAGCGTACCGTAAAGTACTCAAATAACACCCACCTCTAAAGACTGCCCCACTAAGTTTTATGGCCAAATTGAATTCCTTTAGATCTAAAGAAACCAACCAGGTGTTGCAGACCACTCCCACATGTATATTTATTTTACTTTATTTGTTCTACTGACACAATACCTGCTGCACTGTTTGGCAATATGCAGGGAATAAAACAAAGCACACAAAGAAACACATTTTCAAAATACATGCACGAAGCTACAACAAAATATAAATTTTTGTAAGGAAACAGCATTCTGAGAAATTGAAATTTTGGGGTCTCCAATGTCGAATTTCAAGCAAACAAAAAAAATAACATGGCCCCAAATTATGCAGATTGGAGAAAATACTGATTGAAATGTCTTCAAAACCTAAGAAGCCCATTTTTTTTATTGTCTAATTAAAGTTTTTGTAAAAAGAAACCTCCTTTTAACAAGTTGTGAAAGACAATAGACCATTTGTTAAAGATCCCTAAGCGCAATGAAGCACGATGGGTTTTTAGTCGCGGGTGTGGGCATCTGCAGCAGTTATTTGTCAATGTCCAAAACGGATGGCACTTTCCAGGTGCATCTGCCATCCCCTTATTTTAGTGATTTACTTAGCTGAGCACTGATACAGTGCCACAAAGTAGGAGTTGTGCCTATGGTGCACAGTTAGCGCTGCAATGCACATGGGAACAGGCCATTAGATTCTGCTGGAGTGCCCTGAAGTCTGCATGGACTGCGCAATAATTAGCAGCCACCCGAAAGACTGTGGTGCATCACATCTCTGTAACACAGCACCAGACTACCTTCAGTGATTCAAGACCAGCCCCTTCCCCCCCCCCCCCCCCCCCCCAAGCACAAACGGTTGTCTACAAAACAACACAAGAACGCAAGGGGGACACTACCTGGGAATGTTAACTTTTGAACAGCTCACTCAGTCGGAGTGATATTTGCAGGTGGTGTTTGTGGCCATGTAGATGGAGGGCATGCAAAGTTTCAGCCCTGTGAACCAGTTTATACCCCCAGAACGAAGTAAAGCGTAGCTTTGGATGGAATCTGCTCAAAGAATATGTTGTTGAGAAATGGTGTTGATAACGACATCTTTCTGGTGGAACGCATACTGGAATACCTGTTGCAGGTCCTTATGAAAAGAAATTTAAAAAAAATATGCACTTCCCAAATAAAAAAAAACATTTTTTTTTTTACATTTACCAAGTTTGTCAAATTACAAATTTTCATAATAAAGAACATGAAAATGCGAAATCTGAGTTCAAAGTAATTGACTCCCAAAATTTCGGCATATAAGCCGCAAATTTTAAGTCTCTATGGTTTCATACTGAAACGCTAGTTTTATTAAAGAGCCCCCGATTCTTTTCAGGGGCGCTTTAATAAAACTAGCGAATGTTAAAAAAAACTAACAAATGTTTTTTTTTAAACAGTCTGGTTGGGACACGCATGTCAAAATATAAACTTCACATGAAAAAATTTTTTTTAGTGTAATGATGGTGCGAGACGCAATTTAGCCGGCAGTCACCTCCTGTCCACTTGTTTTCCCTCTCAGCATTTCGGGCGCGTGGAGGAGAGGTGGATCGGCTTCGCCTTCTCAACCGAGATGGTCATTCCAGAATGACCAGTGGCGTCATGGACTTCACGCGCAGAATTTGAAATAAATCTCTCGCCGTCAATATTGCTCTAAATTTTTTTTTTCTTTTTTCGCTTAGATTTTATTTTTGGCACGCGCGTCCCAACCAGGCTGTCCAAAAAAATCATTTTTTTCTTTTCACGGGTTCTTTAAGGTGGGATTTATGCCAAAAAGTAGATTGGAGAAAAAAAAAATTCAAAGTGCTCGAACCTTTTGCTTTAGCATTGGTGGACTGAAAATAATTTATAAAACAATAACTATGCACTGTAAACAAATGGAACTTTCTTGGAATACTCTCTAGATGTTGGCGGATGCAAATAGGGCATTTTTCACAATCAGGTTTATTGCAGGAATTTCTTTTTCTGGGTAGTTCTGGGAAGGAAGTTCTCGTTGCCCATTAGAAATCTTTGCTCCCATTGTTCAGTGCATGAGACACATGAGAAGAAGAAGCAGAGCTCACCTGAGCAGCTTGAGGATGATCATGTTGTTCTGACAGAGGCTCTCATTGGTCTTGCTGGCGCCCACAATGTCACTGATGAAGGAGGGCCAGTTCTTGGGCCATTCCCGCTTCAGGATCTATACACAGAAATTAAAGAAAGACTGACTGTCAGAAAACAAAAACAACTCTATGTTCCTCTTTAAGGGGAGACACCCCCTGGGAGGGTCAACTTTTGAACCCTTGGCTTAAAATTAATGAAATTTACAGGGTAGGCTGGTGGTCATGCTAGAGGGTGCATGACAACATTTTAGGTCTGTTGGTTGAGTGGGAAGGAAATTAGGGCAGCTTCTATCAGTAACACCCCTACACTGTTTAGTTAATCTATCGTCAGAAAACTGTCACAATATTAAAGATTTTTATTTGCTAGATATGTAACAGAATGCCTAGGAGGTGCGCCTATGGAAAGGCTTTTGTAAAAAGTAATTGATTTCTATCAATTTTCTCTTCTGCGAAATTGGTCAACTTTTTGGTCTACTGTGTCTCCGACAAAATGTCAACATTTTTTATAAAAGACATCCGTAAAGTGACAAACAAACTCCATAGGCGCATTCCTTACTAAATTTCAGTCAGGAAAAGTGAAGAATGAGCCTTGCCTGTATTTCCATTCTCAAACGATAGATTGACTAAAATGGAATTTATACAAAAAAGTGGAACGGAGAAAAATGTGTTCAAAGTGCTCCAAACCCTACCTTTTCTTTAGCTTTGGTGGACAGAAAATAATTTATAAAAAATTAACTATGCAGTGTAAACTAGTGAAAATTTCTGGGAATACTCTCTGGATGTAGATGGATGTAAATATGTAATTTTTCAAAATCAATGTTTTTTTAAGAATCTTTTTTTCTCCGGGTAGTGTCCCCCCTTAAATACTATTCTAAAGGCAATATTTCTGACAGAACTTCTCAGCAATCAAATACACTGGCCGATCTTCATCTTCAAACTTTCCAAGACTCGCGACATATGGAGAGTACAAACTAGTGCAAAATACCGGAGAAGAAACGTTCAATGGGAATTCAAGAGAACCGAAATGTTGCGCATCTATCGACGTCCTAGTGACCAACTAAAGGCTGGCTTGCACACTTGCAACAGTATACAGTAATTCCTTGTTATAACGAAATTGTTTTTTTAGAATTATTGCTTTTATGGAAGCCCAAAGTGATGCCGACCGAAATGCACGCATTTTTAACCCCATTATTCTAAATGTACCGGCCGCCGACGACGCTTATTTCAAAGGCCGCAGTGCCGAAAGCACACACGCTTACACGGAGGCGCACTGAAACCCTTGCGTTCCCTCCCCGTTCTCTACTGAGGCAAACAAAAAACAGAGAAAATGGAGGAAACTGGTGATGGAGGGCAGAGTGCGCAGAGCTGGCAAGGCACCGCTTCCGACGCCGATGCACCGACGCATTGGGAGTGTTTACCAAAAGGCGCTTAGATCTGAGAGGTTGAGAAAAGTGGCCGGCTTAAGTTCGAAATCACCAAAGAATTAAACATTGCGGTACCGGCTGTTCGACACTGTCCACCATTTTGGGAACAAGCGAGACATATCAGATAAGTTTGAGAAGTTTCTCATACAGGAGAAAGAGCGCTTCGATCCGAAAATGAAAGATTGCCAACTGCTTCGTGCACATCTGATTTTCTCTCGCGAGCATGCTTGCCGAGCCGGCGCACAATTCTGACGGCTGCAACGACCTCTACAGGTGTGAAATCATGTTGGCAAAGCCACCGAGGATAACTTTGATTCGTTCACGCTTGTCGATGCGGACGTTCTCGTTGTTGCTTCTGCCAAAGATGCAGTGATCGTAGACCTTGCATGTGGCCAGGGTAAACACAAAGCGATGTCGGATAGGCACCTCAAGAAAGGCCGACGACTGCGGAGACGCAAAACATCCTACAGCTGCTTCGAAACAAAGTGGAGAGCAACGGCGGTGACAGTGTTCTTGCGATGCCTGGAGAAGTTCGAGGAAAACTGATGCCCGGATGAAATTATTGGCAAACTCTACTTAATTATTTTTTTACTCAGTAAAGGTGCCGTGAGATGTCCATAACCGAGGTTTGTTTGATTAAATATAGAGTCAGTGTGTTCCACAGTGTTCCCGTACACCTTCAAGGCTTCTGGCAGTGTTTTTTGGGCTCTATCACTTTTATCGAATTACCGCTTAGATCGAATTGTTTTGCCGTCCCGTTGACTTCGTTATAACGAGGGATTACTGCACGACCGAATGCCTTACAATCTCGTGATCTCTTACAGCGAGAGAATTCAATGGGGCCATCTATCGGGTAGCTGGGGGAAGTTGTGGGACACTTGCAGTTTCCGCATATTTCATACTTTCTCACTAATCATTTTTCCTTTATTGGCTCAAAAAACATTTGACAGGGTTGTAAACGATCGCTTCCCATAGTACCCTGTACGTTAGATATTGCAAATACCGCCAAACCTGCATTCTAGTGACAACCAGTTCCAGGGTCACCTTATAGGTAGCTTTAGCATGTCCTCTCGTCGCAAGAGGTCGTAAGAAAATGCAAGTGTGTGAACGAGCCTCGAGAGTAGAACGCGTCCTCCGTCCGTCGATTCCCGAGGCAATGTCGTCGGTGCGATCGATTCGTTTTTTTCCTGCATCTGTAAACTAAGAAACCATTCGTTCGGATGAGAACTTCCTCGGTGTTGGCTGGAGGACCACACCTGCTATGCATTTCAAACCAGAGCTCTACAAGTTAGTTACTCGGGATGAAATATAATAAATCCTTTTCAAAAGTGTGCGCCCCCTGGCAGCTGCTGTTGTGGATTGCAAAAGACCACTGGTAGTGCAAGGAAATAAAAAAAGGAAGATCCGAGATCAGCAGAGGCACGAGAGGAACGGGTCGGTGGCGCGGGACGGAGCTCGGCTGTTGAGCTGCATGATCAGTGCTTCCCTTGACTATATTGTACATATGTAAATATCTCGCTCAGTAAATAAGCGGTTTGTTACCGTTGAACTGTCTTGAACGACGTATTCCGCTAAAACACAACAGCTGCTGCATAACTTATTTTATCCCGCCGTCGTTTTGGGCACGGGTGGTGCATCAGAGTTCGGTGCCAACTCTGCTCAGCTCATATCAATAATGGTGAGGACTCGTACGCAAACGCACGTTTTGTGCCCGAGAAATCATGACCGCCAATGTTGCCCGACGGTGTTTTGAGAAGGGTCCATCGAGTTACAACTGCGGCTACACGCATCGGTGGATTCTCGCGTTTGGCATTTCTCATCTCGCCCAACTTTTGCTTTGCAAGAAAGAAGCCGCCCAAAGCACGCAATACCCCGGGCAGTTGTACACTTTCTCCTTCAATATGCAGTATCGATTTTTCCGATAATGAATTCAATTGCTGCTGCACCCACATTATCGCGATGTTGCAACGATGTTGAACTGGAGGTGCTGTAAAATCGCAACAATGTAACTCTGGCATTCCCGTAATATTGCAAAGATGCTGCACTGACATAGCAACAACGTTGCAACAATGTTGCACTGACACTGCTGCAACATTGTATCGACGTTGCTGTAGCACTGCAATGACGTTGCGCAGAAGTTACTGCAACATTGCAACAATATTGCACCAATGTTTCTGTAACATTGCAGCAGTGTTGCACTGCATTCCTGCAACATTGGAACAACATTGCGCTCATATTCCTGCAACGTCGCAACATCGCCGCAATGTTGCACCGACAATGCCGTGTCATGGCACCAACGTTGCTTCAACGTCCCCGACAACGTCCCCCGCAAACGAGCTTCCAAAGAGGGGCGACGCACCTGCACGAGGATCATGTTGAGCTTGTTGAGGTAGACGCGCTCCCTCTCCAGCACCTCGGGGTCGGACGAGGTCTTGATGATGAGCCCCACGATGTACTTCTTGATGCCCTCACACTGGTTGCGGGGCAGCACCTTCCAGCGGGTCTTGATCACATTCTCCAGGATCTGCAGGGCGTAGTACTTGGTCTGCTGGTTCTTGGAGAACTCTAGAATCGTGTCCACCCGCGTCCACGCTTCTGGGTGCTCCTTCAGCGTCGTCAGCACCTCCTGGGCCAGCCGTTGCTGCGCGCAAAGGCGGTGGTGGGACATAGCGACAATGTTACCTCAATGCGGGGACAGTGTTTTCGTGACATCGGTGCAACAATGCTGACATGATATGGCTGCAAATACAATATAATTTCTGCAATGACATTGTTGCAAGACTGAAACATTGCACTGACAAGTTGCAACATTCCGCCGACAACGAACGTGAAGCCGACGAACTCGACAGATTCACCACGAACAGTTTCTAAATATTTCCTAAATAACACATGTATGTCACAAAAAAAAAAAAAAAAAATGTTGCCAGAAAAAATTTGTAGAGAAATATTCAAAGGGGTATGGAAACAAAATTTTAGGGCTCATTTTATTGCTTAGGTAAATACCACGTCGCATCAGCACCTCAGAAACATCAGCCTTCCATTTGTAAACGCAAGAAAAGTCAAAAGTAATTTCGAAACATATAAAACGATTTCCCACTTGCACCTGGTAATTGAGGGGCCGAAGCTTTGTTAAATGGTCGCGACGTGTTGCTCCTCCTACAGTGGCACCACCCTCGACAATACACCGCACTCATGTAGATATCCTACCCATGAACGTAATGACGCAATCGCACGCTCCTCAGCACCGCCTTCAGCCGTGCTGAGGAGCTTGACGTCACAATCACGACGGAGTTCCTATGATGCATAGCATGCCTCGATGGCCGATTTCGAAGCGCTTGCTAGAATTTGACGCTTGAAACGAAAAATATGGCCTTCCGCTCAAAATATGAATGTGCGACTGTCATTTACAGACATCATAGGTCATATTTCACCCATTTCAAAAAGGTTTCCGTATATTTTGATTTTCGTTTCTGTACCCCTTTAAGTTGCGAGACACATTTCAAGTTACGATCAATTTCTAAAAATGCCTCTATTTCTGAATTGCTCAAACGAGTCATGTAACGTAAATAATGTAATTTCCTTTTTTTTTCTTTTTTAAGGAAGGGAGGGGGTTATTTTACTAAAATGTGTTCAATCTGGGCACTTAAAAATAAATGTTTTTTAGAAAATTCAGTGTTCCTTTAAATGGACCAGGGAATTAACTGCTAATCTTCTGCACGTCTTTATTTTAAATTCAAGCTTATATGTTTGCAGCTCACTGTTGATGGCTCAATTATTAGTCAATTTTCTATATCCATTTCGTTTAGGACTTGATGTGTTCTTTATGAGGCTTTTCAAGTTAATCGACCTTCTTGAAGTTTTCGATTTATTTTCTTTCTTTTTTTCGTGTTGTCTTAGGCTGTACTTTTGAAGGCATCCCTAGCTGCTCTGTTTTCTGGTACTTGTTATGAAATGGCTGTTTGCTACCCTTTTCACAGATTTTAATCAGTGTGTATCTCATCATGTCACAGGTTGGTGGTCTTCTATATTGTGCATCTTTAGCCATCACTCCTGTAACAACCAGAGTATAAGCCAACCGTATCAATAAATAAATAAAAAGGGTCCGTTTTTTTTTTGTTTTTTTTTCTCTTTTTGAAGATCACCTTGTCTGACCTAATGTATATGTATTGGAACAAAGGCTTCGAAATAGGCAAAAAATACCCAGACATCTACTTCAGTTGAATCACCTTCGTGAAAAAAAAAAAAGAACCCAAACTACTTCACTCTTTTGTGCATAAACACAGCATGCACACCATAAAACTAATTGCCCCACAATTCTGTTGCTACGTGAAAATTCTTAGTTTGGCACTTGCGGTGCTAAACCACTAGAGCTAAACCAAGTGTTAGGTAGAGTTCATCCTGAGTCACTGTTAGTAGTGCTAACTCCAATAACTCGAGGCTACACTTTTTGCGGCTTCACTTAATCTGAAAACTTAGCCTAAAAACATTTCACCTAAAAATTAAAAATTATTAAAAAAGGAGGTTTTCCTCGTGTGGAATGCCCACTAGAAGTAATTATGACAGTGTTAAGAGAAAAGAACACTTTAATTAACCCTTTTAAGTACGGACAAATATCGAAAGGAGGTTTTCCATGTGCCCCACTGCTGTATAAAACGAAAAATAAATGTACATGCTCTCAAACAACACCATAAAAAACAAACCAAAACAAAAATAATTAGCTTGGAATTGAAGTAGTGCTACTCTTTATCCAACTATAGTCACTGACAGTTTATCCAACTATAGTCACTGACAGCAGGGCGTGGCGAGTCCCACGCATCTCATTGTCGCTCCGCATCCAATGAGGTCGCTGCATTCACCAACAGTAACACCAAAGGACAAATCGCAAAGCGAGGAGCGTGAACGTAAAAGCCATGCCATGCGTTTTTCAAGCCTTCAGTGCTTATACCGTATTAAAATGCAAAATACATTGTGCAAATGTTGGAGGAGCACACCCTGAACACGGCTTTCTTTGTGCCTTAAGAATCCTTGCACGCCATATTAGAGGAAAGTACCAATAACTTACCTGAAACCCACTCCAAAAATAAAAAAAAAAGATGAAAAGAAATGGGCACGAGAGACGCTTCTCACCTGGGCCCCCTCGCCCGTGTACATGCAGCAGACGACGCTGTCCAGCAGATTGATGTCCAACTTCTGGGAGAAGTCGAGCAGACGTGATGCCTGTTCGGACAGCGCATTCATGCTGCCGTTCACTGCAAAGTCCAAACAACGCCGTTGCAATGTTAACAGGTAACCCTCTTAACCCATCACATTTTTTTTCTTCACAATAATAGAGTACGAAGTTTTATTTCAAATTAACGAATTGCACAAAAATTTAAGGAAGCGTTCACTTGGCCTCCAGATGTCGTTTGTTGTTCTCACTGGTGCTCCTCGGCCATCAGATGCGTCGACTAAGCAACTGTTCACCGTGCGGTACCGCCGGAAACATTCAGGAAGAAGGAGACCAACAACACAGAATCTGGAGGCCGAGTAAATGTTTCCTTCAATTTTCGTACAAATTGCCCATTTTGAATAAGTTTCCAATTCACCAGAGAGGTGGTATGAGTCGTCAATGGAAAAGGTGCGAGTATGTATCGCTTTCCCATAAAAGTTTCCCTATTCCTTCATCAGCTAAAGTGGACTCCTGCATTGATGCCATGTGGCCATGCCACCTTTCCCTGAGAGCATGCAGACATCAAATTTTGTTTGATTATTTTTTTTAGGGCAATCGAGCCCTTTCCCGGTGAAAATACAAAACAAACAACTAAATAACCCGCAAGAGAAATATTAGTAGCACTACCATCTGCTGAAGAGCGCACAATCCAAGCTCTGAAACTGAAACATGAGCCAGACTCACGGTTGGGCTTTCTGGTCCGTATTGAACCACACGAGAGGAACTCGCAATTAATAGTCAAGGGTGTGAACACAGCCGAACGATATGCCTCGGCAGATGAAATCTAATGGCCCCAGTAGGACCCTTAAGGGGAAGCTGAAGTCTGTATATGAGCAAAGACACTTAAATAAACTCCATTTGGCCCTCAGGATCACAAATATCGATTATTTTTTAATTTGGTGCACGGAGGTTGCAGGAAATCCCTTTTAAAGTACCGCTGAAGTTCCTCCTTCCCGGGGCATGACGTCATAAAAGGAGTTTTCCGAATCTCCGCTCTCGCACATCTTCAGCGCCTTTCAAAGCTATGCACGCACACTCTCGTTATTTTCAAAAATATCAAAAAAAGACATCACCACTGGTGTCAGTGTGGGGGATACTTGACGAGCTTGCAATTGCACGCACTGCCTGCACGAGCGACACACGCTTGGCGGCTGAGGCACCCTTCTATGGCAAGATGACTGGTTGGAGTTTTTTCGTGTTTTCTTGCGTTTAGTTACATCTTCAGGGAAAACAAATGTGATATTCAGATTCATGGGATAAGAATACCCTAGAATTCACCTCTAACTCGTCTTTTTCAAGAACCTCTTAAGCTTCCCTTTAGCCCTTCGAGTGCAGCGCCCGAGTATACTCCGGCGCGCTTCCCTGCACACTCCCTGCCGCGCCCGAGTATGCTCGTTTCGGGTTTTCAATGTACTCTCTGCCTTCCCTGGCTAAACTCGGGCCGACAATATTCTTCTGAACAGGAAGCGCCATCTATGGATAATCAATTGAATCAATGTTTTGAGTGGTGGTTTCGCCTCGACGGAACGTGGAGATTTTTGTAAAGGCGACTTCCGTATGCGTTTCCGCGTCAACGTTCTTTTCCAATGGCAAACGCATGTGCTTCGACTTCGCGCTCCTTGTTGGATGCTGAAATACAGGAACTTCTAATAAATTCTGAATCTGATGACAGTGAAACCGAGTGTACTTTGGAAAGTGACGAAAGCGACGACGACTCGACGCCACCTGAGAGGCTACTTAAAAAGAAAAAAAACTCGACGACACTGGCTACAAGTGGACTACAGGTGACCTCGCTCCCATTCTTCACAACTTTTACTCGTCGTCTTCCGAGATTAAAAAGAACATATTTCTTAAATAAATGTACACATTGAAGCATGTAAACATATTATTACCCCCAAAATAAATTATTTGCAGTGAAAAAAAAAAAAAAAACTTGGCACAGGGGGACCGCTGGGCCAAAAAAACCCAGCACTTGAAGAATTAAGGATTGCTAAATTACTTATTGAATTCACCTACGATAATGCATTCACGTTGCCGTTTGCCAGAACGTAGAAACAATGTTGTTGCTACATCAGTTAGCTCCAATGTAACTTGACAATGCATCTATGCTGCCATTCAGTACAGTGACAAAGCAATGCAAATGCTACCATAGTTAGCGTAATTAGCGTGACTGGGAAGGAATACCTCAGAGGACAGTGTTCTGCGCGGCCAACATATACACACCGCAGTTAAGCATAAAGTCTCTAATTTTTCAACTTAATTGCATTACAAGGTAATACGGCTAGATTTTTTCTGATGTTGCTAATAGGACCTACTTTTGAAGCTGAACATCACTGATGGCATAAAGATTACAACATCTCTCAAAACTTTACAAACCTAGTATTTCACACAGTTAAAAAAAGAAAAGAAAACTGTTGCTCCTTGTTTGGTGGGCTTGCTAACAAAGCTGTGGCAGCCATTCTAGGTAAAAATCTCTCCAAAATTTTAAAATTAAAATATGTAGGCTATTTTGGAATATCATCTCACTCTCAAATTTTTGCCAAATTGAAGAATGAAATGGAAATTCCCAAGTTAATTTACATGCACCCCACATGAAACAAAATGGTAAAGTGTAAGCGTAAAGTGTAACGTTAATGTTTATGAAAAAATTAACGTCATACATTGTTGTTCTCAGCATGACATTTCTCCACATCAAGACAAGCACAACGAAGCATCAGCCTACTCTTTTCTTCTTTAACCACCACCAGATGGCCTATTGCACCATGTCTGACGAAAGTTTGAAATCCCCTGCTTTGTTGGTGGAACCTTTGCATGTAGAAACCCTCTGCAGAGCAGTAGTCTTCCTTGAAAACCAACATCACTTTAACAAACCGATGCCATTAATCGCAGCTTCTCAGAAAACTGACCGATCATTTTATTTCCTAGTGTTCAAGTTTGACGAAAACTAGCAACGGTATTTGGTGGCCATCGACTGGGCATGGAAAACTCTGGACACGCAATAATTTCTAGACTTCCCAAGATCACTAGTTCGACACTCAAGGCCTTAGCACCGACCAACCCAATGTCTATTCTAAGTTAATAGTACACCAAGACATAAACAAAAAGGCCAGTTCACTGAGCAAGTTTACAGTCCACAATGAACTGTGCACAGTTTAAAGGCATCAGGAAAAAAGGAAGACAATAATGTAGGTGATCGTATTTCTACCTTTACATATAGTTTACCTTGTCTATCATGCAGTGACGAACACAAAAAACTATGACTGAATGCACAATGAATGCATGAGTACCTTAGACCGATTCACTTACTATGTCACATTTTCTTACAACGTAATTTAAGTAGCAAATCTGCGAAACTTGGGATTCGAGATAACCTACTGTCACTCGAGAGACTACATCCCTTATCCTTGGGCTTCTATTTCCGGCAGTGACAGTAACACAGTAATACACATTTTCTGCTACATCAACTCGCTCATGTAATTTTTGAGTTAACATTACGAAAGTTGTTGCACCACTCAAAATTAATTCACACGATATATAAAACTATATCCCCTTCCCAAAACCAAAATAAAACTAGCCAAATAAAAATTGTTAGTTCTACGAAAATTTTGAATTGATATGGCTTCTCGCAGCTGCTTGCCGCACGGCGACCGACAGAATTTAATTGTTTGATGGATTGCGCAATTTCGTAGAAAAAAAATGTTACGAACAAAAAACAAATATATGACAAATGGAACGCCATGCACACATCTTTCGACACTGAAAGGCACGCACGACATTTTGTTTGTCTCGTATGTTTGTTCTTTCCTTGTAACTTGGAGCAATCCATACCGTGGTGCATTTAGCATGGAAGTATCATATTTTCCTATGTATAAGTCGCGTTTTGTTGCTTTCTTTTTGTGTTTTTTTTTTTTTTTTTACAATTTTTGTTGGTGTGTTTTATATGATGGTGCACCTTATATTAACGTCTTTTTACGAGCATGGACCTTAACTACAGAAGTTTGCCACGGGGATTACATTTCTCACTCGATTCGTCAACGAGAACATTGAAACTTGGTCTTGCTTGCGCATATATGGCGATAGTGACACATGTATGCGGGCTTTTCAATGCAGCTCTGCCGCACCAACCGTACAACCGTGTGCCGTAAAATACCGGGCAAGCGCCCACTCGAAATTTAAAGATATTCGCGAAAAAATGGGGGATGGGCGCTTGTCCGGTCATCAATTTTACATATAAATGTACTGTGCATATTTTCTCAGATCTTTAAAATTTGGGTATGGGCGGATGCGCGGTATTCTATGGTAGGTGCCGCTTTAGACTGAAAAATATGGTACTGTTAAGGCTTGTTCACACTCTAGCGTTTGCTTGGGACCAAGTTTTGTCATCTCTTCCAACGAAAGAAGACACTGGCACCATCTACGACGGGACCCCAGAGTTGCATTTCACCAGAGCGAAGGTTTTTACGGTATCTGCGAGGCCAAACGTAGGCACTACCTATAAGAAGTGGTCGTTAAAAACATTGTGAAAAAGTTTTTTTTAAAAAAGAGAAGAGGAAATATATGGAAACTGGAAGTGTTCCACGAATAACCAACAGATGACGCCCGTTTCTGTCGCCGCAAGAGGTTTTAAGGCACACGGACGAATAACCAACAGATGGCGCCAGTTTCTCTCGCCGCAAGATTTTTTAAGGCACACGGTCGTAAGCTGTCGCAAGTAGGGATGCCGCGAACTTTTTTCGAATCGAAGTTTCGATGATCGAATCAAGCGGTTCGAAAGGTTCGAAAGATTTTGATTTTTCGAATTGTCTATATCGTAAAATTCGACGGAGGTCGAATTTTCGAACTTGTTAAGCTAAGAAGTTCGACGCTTTTCGAACCGTCGAACTTATTACGCTAAAAAATTCAATCTTTTTCGAACTTTCGAACTTATTGCGCTGCAAGGTTCGATGCTTGTCGAACTTTCGAACTTGACTGACCAAAAAATTCGATTAATTTCGAACTTTCGAACTTATTTATCAAGAAAATTCGAAAAGTTTCGAACTTTCGAATTCTGAAAAGTCAGAAGTTCGACGAACTTCGAACTTTTAGGGTAAAAGTTCGACGTTCGTCGAACTTCGAAAGACCGGCGGACGGTTTCATTTGATTTCAAGTAGTGGGGTACATTCGTAATTTTTTTTTCTCGAACTTTTACACGCGGTGCTGCGTTTCTTACGAAAGACAATGTCATTTATTTCAATGTTCTGGCATGCTTAGGTTTAAAGAAATAAATCCCCGAAGGGGCGAGGACGGACGACGGGTTTTTGACGATTATCGTTTGTGCCAGATTTGAAGCACGCTGCAGCCGGAGCTATTTATGGTAGATATGTTATACTTTTTTAAGAATGATCTATGTATAGCCTAGGTAAGTGCCGTCTTAAGATGTGATTGTTGTTATTCAACGCGAGTTTCGAAGAAATGTCCAAACATGTATCTGCATGCAATTATGACCTAAACTTGATATTTATTTTCGTCTAAGTTGTTTGAGGTATCGCATTTAAATTAACACCACAGACAGTACATATCATTGCCATCTGCAGAATACAAAATAATATATTTATTGTTTTTTCACGTTAAGGAATAAATTAACTCATTGCAGAAGATTTCTAGTAGTGTTCAAGTTCAGCACGTCATTAAAAGAAAACGTTTTTTTTTTTTTCGCTTCACGTTCCTGGGACGTGTTTCTTTTAGCCTGTACACATTTTAATAAAAGAAACTTGTTTCGAAGTTCTGAACCTCTGAATATGCAAGAATAGAACACTTCCGACGAATTCTTGATAGTTTTCTTTTTCTCCTGCTTTTTATTCCCGCATTTATTCTTTTTTTTTTCTTTTGTTACTATCGGCACAGGTGTTTAGGTCGAAAAGACATAGCTTTGAACTTCCGAACCACTATACTCCGTTTCATACTTCATATGCAACGCTGTCAAAGCTACTGGCGCGAGCGCGTGGCTTTGTCCATGGTTTCGTCCGCGCGAGCACGCGCGCAAATGATCAACCAGATCAAGCCTCATGCTCGCGCCAGTAGCTTTGACAGCGTTGTACGCCAAGTGTGAAACAGAGTATAAGCATGTGACGAGCAGTGCCTTCTGACAACGAGTTTCTAACAATGACCATCTATGCAACCTTTTATGCAGTGAAGAGCGACATATGCATAAATAATTTCAGATTAAAATAAGCTCGACCACGCCCTCTTTCCCCGTATTGTTTTCTTAAACAGTCCGAAATACCTGCAAGAGGAAAAAAGAGGCTAAAGCCCCCCCCCCCCCCCCCCCCGCTACCCTCTTTCCCGCCGTTTTTCCTCTTCCGCGATTCCTCCGTCCCAGAAAATAAACCTCCAGGACAATTATAAACTTCACCGGATCGGATTACTACCAGCGTGCAAGGGGTGACGAGGTAGTTTGCCAGGTCGCTTCAAGGTTTTTCTGAGCCTCAACCTCCTGCTCGCCCCTGGCCGTTTCGAACTGGATGAGTCTCGTAAAACAGTGTGTTCGTGCAATATCACTACTGCGTGATGCAGGTTAAAGACCCCCCCCCCCCCCGGGGCTGGCGGTCACAATTCTGCGCTGGCAAATATTCTAGCACGTCCGGGACACTCGTGTCTCATTTAATTGCCTGACCAACTTCGCAGAATCTAGATATCACACCCTAACTTTTCTAAACTTGATTTTGTGAAAACCAGTGAGTCGTGAAAACGTTATTTGAAACTGAAACTGTAGAAAAACTTGAAAATCGGACTTCAAACTTTGAAAACTTGGATTAGAAAAAAATTCAAAATCTTCGAAGGTTTTTTTTTTTTTTTTTTTTTTTTAATTTAGCGTTAAAAGAGAATCGAAACTTTCGAACTTTTCGAACTTTATGCCAAAAGAAATTCGAAATTTTCGAATTGTTCGAACTTTATGTCTATAAAAATTCGAAGCGTTCGAAGTTTTCGAATTTTTTTTACAAAGAATTTCGAAATCTTCGAATTTATCGAACCTGAAGTAAAAAAATATTCGAAATATTCGAATTCGAAATTTTAGAAACCGTGAAAGCTTCGAAATTTTCGAATTCGAAACTCCGCTGTGGACAAAAGTTGCGAATTTTTCGAAATCGAACCTCGGTCGGTACGAAAATATCGAAATTTTTCGAAATCGAACCTCAGTTCGCTTTGCAAATATCGAAACCTTTCGAAATCAAACCTAGGGTGGTTCGCGACATCCCTAGTCGCAAGTGTGTGAACCAGCATTTAGACGTGTAGCAGGTCTGAAAGGGGCACTGACACCCCAAAGGTTGTATTTTTTTTTTATCGTCTAAAACAATGAAAGTTGTAATCATAGACACGCAAAAAAAAAAAAAAATAACGCATCGAAAAAAAAAAAAGAAAAAAATACAAACTTCTCCACGTGCGCGCCCGCCTTTTTATTTTTGGCGCCTTTTCTTTCCCGCTCCTCTCCTCCTCGCTTCTTTTGATTAGTAACATCAAAAATCATGAAATTTGGAAGCTTTGTAGGTGACATTTCTACAACATTTAATAACGGTAATCGTAAAACATGTTTTTTAACGCAACGGCGAACGCACTATGGCCCATCTTTTCAAAATACCAAAAATCTGAGTCCGGTGTGATGTCGCCTCCTGGATTTGTATCCTCCCTCGGAAAACGTGGAGACGCTCGAAGCACATAGCAGAGGATGATCGGTGAGTCGGGAAATCGGACAAAGTAGTCTTTTTTAGGTGCCCGACGACCTCTCAGACTTCGAAAGGGAAATCGTCAAACAGTCAAAACAACTGGGTTTGGTGTCTGTGTATCGTAGTTTCGGCTGTGACTCCTCTGGGGCAACCTCTCAGACGTCAAGCGTCGTCTGGTCACTGCGATAGGCAGGCGGGACGGCACGCACAAAATAAAGCCTTTTTTTACTTCACAAATACTGAATTCCCAAGTTCCGAATTTTGAGGATAATGTCCCGGTATAGTTTTCAATTGTTTCGGATAATAAAAAAAAAAAAAAGTGATTTTGATGTGTCAGTGCCCCTTGAAGGAACGTGTGGAATTGAGACAGGTAAAATACTGTGGAAACGCTCGCCATTAACGTTTCCCAAACTTGGGAATTCTGTGAACCATACGTCAAGCGCCCGAGTCGACCGGACAAGCGCCCATGTCTAGATTAACCCAGTTTCCGGCAAAAGTGGGGTGGGTGCTTTTTCCCCGGTATTTTATGGTAGTTCTCCTCACCTAGTTACGAAATTTAGTTTGAAAATCGTCACACTTACCAGGCGTCCCAAACGGTGTTACCGGCTGCTTCATCCCATCCACTTGTACAGACATCAAAAAGATACCAGTTTACCTGGAATAGCCGGAAAATGCAGACGACCAGCAATGCTGGAGTTTCTTTACACACAAAAGACCAGTGTCCGAAATCCTAGCACCCAGCGATAAAATAATCTCAAATGCAGGCTCTTGTGAAGAGAGGGACTGCCCATAAAACACAAGACTTTCGCTTTTTACAGCACTCTTGGCATAGGTGCTGTTCTTGGAACTTTGTGATCATGCATTTCTGAAGTTTTTTTACTACGGTATATACAAAGGTTTCTAAAAGAAAAAAAAGACTTGCAGAAAAGCACAGCCCCTCCATGTGTCAAAAGCAGTGCAAGGTGCGTCGATGCACGTGCAATGTGCAGCCCTTGAAAAGATCATGGCAGCACAGCGCAGCACTGAGCCAGATTTTGGATGCCATGTTCTTCACAAAAGTGGTGTGTGGCATGTGTCTCGAGCGTTTTTGCAACAATGGCACTTTTCCCATGGCAGAGGGGCTTTAACTATGCTGTGTCATGGCATCAGCATAAACAAACGGCGCCCACTTTCGTTCCACTTGCTCCAAGCTGCGGTTCAGTTCGTCGACACTCCCAGCCACCGAAATCCCACTCGAAAGGCCCGAGAATCAAGAAAACCACAAAATATGTCCTCCCCGGCCGGCCGAGAACTGCTGTTTCAGACGAAAGCACATCTGTGCACAAAGAAGGGACAGTTGTGCACACGGAATACCGAAATTTGAAAGCCTAGACTCGAGGAAACGCACGCCAAAGGAGTCTAACATAAGGGACGCCGCAAGAAGTCGGCAGAGCATGGAAGCAATAACAAGCACATCGCAAGTGTCAACGAGTCATTTGCTGCATTAGGAAACTTCAATGAACGAAAACACCATGTTGTGACAAGCATGTCATTCAAAGTGCGCCAGTTGTGCTGGTTCGTGGCTGCAGCGCTCCGCAGGTGCAAACAGCTTTTCGTTCCCGAGATCTGGTTTGCTCAAAACTGCGTCTTAGAATTTACCGAGTGTGCCAAAGGAACTTAATCAGACATCATACTGAAGAAAGCTCGAGAAAAAGGAATTTAATAGACAAAAGGCGACTGCACTGCTCCACTCTGCTGGCTGCGGAGTGGACGGCTGTAGTTTCTAATATGGGGTTTTCATTGTACAGAAAAGAGGCCATCGTAGAAACAAGATTGCAGCAATGCCTTAAAACCTTGTTTGTTTGTTTTTTTTTGCTTCCAAAAAATTTTTTTTTTTCTTTTAGAACGATTATACACTAGTTTGCCTGTGCATTAACTCTCGTTTCGTTAATCAGACATACCTGGCAAACGCTTCGATTCACACCGACCTAGACTTCATACGCGTCCGAAACTTCTTGCCGCATTCTCTACCGCGATGACTCATTACGTCAACGCGCAGGCACGGCCTCAAAGCAAAGAAACATACCAAACGAAGAAGGCAAATCCAGATCACAACTTAACAACAATAGGGAACGAATGGTGGCATCTAAGAAGACGAGAATCCCCGCGGCACCTGAGGTTACGTAAAAACAGACCTCGGCGACATTTAGAATGGGGGTTCGGAAAAGAGTTACATAGCCGATCGACGGTCGGCGCAGATGTTGCCAAGACATACGTAACGACCGAGATCGCTACATCGCGAATGAAAGCTTGCTTGTAAACAATCGACAAGGTTTGTAGGGCAGACAGGTGTGCACTGCTGGGTTCGCGTCGCGACGGCTAGCTAGCACGTTCATTCTCTCGGTACGTTTTGTTTTGTTGAACGCTAGTTGCATAGTTTGAATTAAAGATACTAGCAACGCTACGTAACATAGGGTATCTGGCCTCCTGTTCCGTTTTTTGACGGCCAACGAACCCTAATTTTGCTTTTGTTGTTTTCCTTGCTGTCCACCCACATCAAAAGCCTCCAAACAACGCGAAAGAGGACCCAGTTAGACATAGTCCTGGGGTAAAGAAGATGCAACGTAAGTAGGTACCATGGAGGAAAAATAAAAATAAAAAAAATCGAAATCTCACACGTTATTAGCAGCGGCGTGCCAATTCGTCGGAAATGGTGACGCGAGCATTGTTCGAGGAAATGCTCCTCAGCTTCAAATCTTCCAGCGGGAGTTCACACACGAGAAGTGATGGACACTCGGTTAGGATGATTTTTGATCCTTCCGAAATTGACTCGTGCAGCGAGGTAACAACAAAATACCGCGTTTTGGAATGCACCAAGAGTTAGTTTTGTCGCTAGCCCAACGGTCGCTGAAACGTGCGAATTTTGTTTGGCGAGCGTCGCGTTGGCGTAGGTTTTGTTGGTTTTAGGGGTTCGTTTCAATCGTGAACGGAAACATAAAAGGGCAGATATTTTCGAGAAGGGTAGTGAGCCACGCTTACGGGCGACTGCACGATTTTGGGACTTTACACAGCGGTAGGACACAGGGGAGAAATAAGAGAGCATCGTTTGGAACTACTCACGTTTTCCGTTTTCCAGTTTCGGAGATGAGTTTTCCCTCAATTTCTAACGAAAAACACAGACCCCGTTGCGTTATATGGAGATCGTAATTTCGGTTTCTTTTGAAAGGGACCTCCGTTTTTTTTTCTTGATTTTTTTCCTTTCACGCCAAGTACAGCTTCACATCAACCACGCTCTTATTCGGTGACTGTGAGGGACCACGCACAATTATTGTACCTCCCCTAACCGGTTGGAACTGGTTCGGCGTTCGCGACGCTCGGCAGTCTTCGGCTCCGAACCGATGTACACAAAGAAATTTTCTCCAATTTTACAAAATTATGTTCATAAAAAAGTTTGTTACATTAAAATTACAAAATTTTAAATACCATCGTTAGCATGTTTGAGTAAGGGTTCAGGTTTTGAGTGCAAAATGAAACCATCGGAAATTTCCGTCGGACGCTGCGGCGCTCGGTGGCTAGTGGGTAAGCCCGCCGCCAGGATTGCAGGTGCTGTCATCTGTCGTTGCGGCACTCTAGGACAAAAAGAAAAATCACCGCGACTGCGTAGAAATTCGCCGATTTTTTTTTTTAGAATATACTTGTGGGTTGCTTAGGTTGTCAGGGCAGCTTTCCACGCGATTGTCAATAGCGCGCTTTTGACTGGATTAGGCGAGTTCTTTATCTTTGGCGCGAATGGAAAAGTTTGGCGATAATAAATTGAAGCAGACAAAAATAACGCGCGCACTTTTGACTTCCGTCAAAACACTAAACGGTTCTGAAAACGTAAGGAAAAAAAAAAATGAAATGTGGCATACTGTTGTTTTGGGCCGCGTTAGCTTATCTTTCCTCGTGATAACCTACGTATACTTTGTAACAAATCAAATAAAAAATTACACAATTGTTTCTTTTATTATTATTATTATTATAATTATATATATTCAATGCAGCTAATCGGTTCTGGTAGGAACCGGTACTGGCGTGTACATCTTACTTTATGGGTTTGCTGAATTGCTGAACAGAAAGCGTTGAACGTATTGGTTGAACGCGTAGGAGGACTGTGGAAGAATAATGCATGCCCACACATGCATGCCACATGCTTTGCACAATACTTCTCGGAACCTGCCGTTATTCAATCGCACGCTATTATTCAAAGAATAACAATTAAAACACAGAACATAGATAACCTACACGCGCCAATGTACCAGTAGGTGGACACGGTGGAGTGGACACCGAAAAACGTCATTATACGAAAAACGTATAATGAGAAAAAAATGCAAACAAAAAAATCATGATGTTTCTAGCTGTGTGTTTTACAACGCAAGACGTTCATGGATTTTTTTTAATTGTTTCATACGTTTTAATTGCTGAAGAATGTCGCCAGAAAGTAACTACAGTGTTGTTTAAAATCATGGGTGCGAAATATTCCAATTCGGAACTGGAACCTGGTGCAGCCTGAGCCTAGAACCACCTAGAACAGCCAACGCACTTGGGAGCATCTTGTGTTCACCGAATTCCTTGTTCCTTGTTTTGAATGCACACAATTTAAAAATACACGCTTCGAAATACGAGTAAGTAGGTTTTCAGGTTAACGTTATTTCGAAACAAATCTAGTCGATTTTAGCAGTTAGCGGAGAAAACGTGGCGACAAGCATGGCAGTCAGCAACACTGAAAATTTGTTATTTGCGCTTTATTTGTTTATTTTCTGCACATGTTCGCAGCTGACTTTGAGATCTTGTTTACTTCTCGGCTCGTTTCTGTCCGACGCTCCAAAAATGGGGATTTTCGCAAGTTGTTTCAAGGGCTCCAACGACGATGTCCCTTCTAGCACCGGACCAGACGCCGTAAGCGGAATACTATTTTTGTTCTTAATATTGATGACGCTCGGTATCAGTGTCCCCAAGTTGAGGGCGTAGTACCTCGACCACCCGAGCGTGAAGTGATATAAACGGTGTGCTGCAGATGCGTTGCTAATTTTCGGTGCTGTCAGCTAGCACCTCAATCTGCCAACACGAGAAGATTAGTCGCGTAATAGTGCTTCGGTTTCTGCGTTTTACCCGTCTTAAACTGGGCTGAACAAACATGACCACTGACAGCTAGTCATGGTGTTGTGCATGCCGACGTCTTCAGAGTACCACCTGCACACTGCAACAACTGTCGACGCGTCGCGTTAGTGATAGTTGGGTTAGCAGCTGGAATCATATCGGCCCATCTCTACCACATTGGTGATCTGCCGCACAACGGAACGTGTTATCGTGCAACCAGGCGATACACAAGCACCTCGACAGCCTTGCTCTCGTTAGCGCAGCATGACTTTTGTCCCGGCAGAAGTTGTGAAAATGATAGTATTTATTGCACTTCAAATTTTGTGGTGCCGCTCGGTGTGCAGGTGAGGAGGGAAAGGCACGCGCCCATACACATATTGTGCCCCTCTCACCAACCGGACGGCCCTATGAGGACTAGTCTAGACAAAAAAGAAAAGGAAAACACGCATGCGCGCACACACAAACCCTCGTCACCGTCACAGTAGTACACAGGATCAGTGACAGTCTCGACAGCGCAGTGCCATGCGAACTCGTACAGCTGGACTTTACGGAGGCCTTCGACAAAGTTGACCACACCCTTTTAGGGAAGAGCGTGCCGGTTTTCAGGATCAAATTCTAGTTCGGCTATCAGACTTCATTTGTATACTACAACGGCACATCCTAACAACCCCAATCTGTCATATCTGCAATCCCACAAGGCAGCGTTCTTGGTCTTGCACTTTTCTTTATCAATGATCGCATACCCCCTACAAACTCAACTCCTGTGCTTATATGCCGGTGACCTCACACTTGTTAAATCGATAAGGCAACCAAAGATTATGATCACCAGCAGGACCTTGACGGGGCACACAAACCTCCGTAGACAAATTACCCCTCAGTGCACGCCTCAAAATCTAAACCTGCAAGTACTTCACAACCCAGAGGAAGGTGCCATGCCCACTTCCCCTCTTGAGGATCAACGACCAAGTTATCAACCGCAGCAGTGACAACAACAACATATTTAGAGTTACTCTGGACACCCGGTTAACCTTCTCAAATCATGTTCATTCCATTGCATCGCATTCCCGCCGTTTGCTGGGGTTCGTACAAAATATCTGCAAAGGCCTAGGACCGATTGTGATGGCAGAACTCTACACCCCCCTTGTTCTGCCCATCTTTGAATATTGTTCACCGACCTGGTTCCCTCGATCCACATCAACACAAGAAATTCAGGAGCGGATCCAGCGGAAAGCCGCATGCAGAGTTTCCTGACCCCTTGTCTGCAACCAGGAGACATCTTGATGAGCCAGCTACTACAGGATTGACAATCCGCACTACCGGGAGATAAATGGCCACCCCGAGACTTTTAGCAACTATCATTGGGCCAAGAATATGCCAAGATGATCACGTGAGCACAGTACGACGCAGGAACCACCGTACCTGTCCAACTGGAGCCCCTACTCGCAAAAACTGAGCGCCACGCAGGCTCATTCGTGCCTTGTCCACGCTGTACAACTTGTCGTTCATTCCCAACAAGAGTTGTCAGCATGCCCCTTAGCGAGACCTGAAATACTGGAACTTTGTCGCGAAGCTGGAGTACACCTACGATCACACGCGTAACCCTGCCACATCTCTCACGATGCATCGCTGCCCCACCCTTCATTATACCTGTGTATATTAATTGTTAACATAATTACCCCCACTAGACGAGCCTCACAGGCATTATTGTACGGGCTACCTGCCTTTCTGCGACACCAGTGCTCGCGAGTAGAAATAAATACCAATACCAAAGTGCAGTAGCTGGCAAGTTTCAATCAATATCGAAGGGTCGTACTCAAGTTTGGTAGCTAAAGGCCATTTGCAGAACTATCCGACCACCAAAGAGCATGCTGGTAGTTCATGTTACGCACACAGCTCGTGCCCACTTTTGCTGTAGCACAGTTTCGAAGTAAATAACCAGATATGCACATGCTAACTACAGTACAGTAAATAGACTAACCGTAATAAATGTTTTGTGCAATTTTTTTCTTTTTTTTGAAAGGTGTTTTTTGTTGGATACTTGGTTTGAAGATTCGTGGATGGGAAACCCAAGAAGCAAGCAGCTCCTTTTGTAAGAACCCTAGCTCAAACCGGGAATCGGGAAAGCGGTGGATATACTGTACGATTGGGGTGTTCTACCGTAGAGCATGTACACCAACGCTTCAATCTCACTTTGGGCGGTCTGCAAAAATCGGTTTCTCGACATGTTGCGCCGAGTTTCACTACAGAGTTGCGGCTTAGTGGTGCGCGCATGGAGTTTAAATATGAACGGATGAACTTGCCTCATTCCAGAAAAGAAGAACCTGTTTCAAACAGTCTGCGGCATCATTTTCTGGGTGATGCAGACGGTGCTGACGGATGGCGGATGTTTCGAAGGCGCACGGGGCACACCGATTCGGGTTTTGATAGCAGACGATCTAGCAAAAGTTTTTCGATGCACGCGCCATCTGTCGGCGTCTCCGAAACCACGAACGCTGTCTGCGTGGCTCAGGAAATGGCGCCGCCGTAGATTGCCCGAAACAGGCTCTTCTTTTTTCTTTCTCGGACGAGGCAGGTCTATCTGTTGATAGTTTTAACTTTATGCGTGCACCGCCTGGCCGCACCTCTGTAGTAAATTCCAGCGCGATAAAATTTGAGAAACCGATTTTTGCCAACCGTCTAAAGTGGGATCGAAGCGTTAGTGTGCATGCTGTACTGTCACAGACAACATGGGCCGAAACAGTCCTTCAAGCTCCTTTGGTGTACCTTCCAGATTCGGAAAGCTGTAGTTAAAAGGACCGGAATGCGAAGTTGAGGTCTCGTCCTTCAAAGTCTTTGACAAATCAAGATGCAGTAGAGCTCGTGGGGACCGCAGGCACAGAAAGAGGCCGGATGGGACGTTTCGGCTGGAGTAATCAACCAGAGCAAGTCCTATTGGCATTTGCCCGAGCAGCCTTAGCCGACGGTCTCTCCGCCATCCAGACGGCGCAACTGGGAATAAAAAATACAAACAAACAAAAAAGAAAACACAAAAGAAAAAGTATCGTTCCCATGGCACCCGGGTGCGCACTCTTTCCGCTCGCAGCGTCTGCTCCAACCCCGACAGACGCTGGCTCGAACACCGTGCCGGAAATCTCTCCTCTTCAACGCATTCATAAAACTGTTATTGCCTCCGTGTCCAAGCAGCTCGCGCAGCGCAGGAGCCAAGTTCTACGTGGCTGGAGCACCCGGAAAACGACTTTAAATACATCTCGCATAAAGGAGCATGGGGAACCGGGCCCAGGACAGGCCGCCATTAACCGCACATTAGGGAGCCATCTGGTGACGCTGCTGTGCCGTGGCTGGTTATTGGTTCTCCAAAAAAAAGTTCCCTTTTTTTTCTTCCCTCAACCATCTTATTTTTAGAGATTTTCGAACGCTTTTGCTGGAACACCCTGTGTATCTTACACCGTGGGCTGGAGCTAGGCATCCGTGCCTGATGGACGCCGCCATTGCAGGTCCTCAAGCGACAACAAATGGCAGAAGCAGCCGAGAAGCGGCTGAAGGAACAAGAGTCCAGAGGCGTCAAGGACCCGGAAAAGCTGAGGCGCCAGCAGCAGAGGCAGGCCGAGCTTGACAAGGAGCTTGGAGCTGCCGAAAGAAGTCCAAATGATGCCAACTTACGGGTGAGCCGTAATAACCAGAATATTTCCCTAAAATCTTCACCCAATTTGCTCTCGATTTTAGGTGGGCTATCTCTCGGGATGTCACAGTAAGCTTGTTTGCATGGCTGCTTGTTAGGTGACCATCACCATAAGTGTTTGTGCAGTCAGGAAACATTCAAATTCGCTGCATAGTTTAGGGACAGTTACCGGTTCTGCTCTCAATTGGAGCAGTGTAATGGAATCCTCTAGTCAAGCATTTTGTAAATGAAGCAAGTGGTGGTTTTCATTTGCCTCCTGCACAAGCTCCAACATCTAGTTTTATTTTGAAAATATCCGAAGTTAAAAAGTTTTAAAACGCCCATGACGGCTTGTGAGGCAACCGCCGTTTTCGAATTTTGTCTCATTTCACGACTTTCACAGGACTAGAATTTCAAAATGCCAATTTTCTAGTTTTCATTTTTGACTTTTGTATTAGCATGTATCGAGTGTGATCATGTATATTAGAAATAAGGGTAGTTCTGCGGACGAGCTACTGTTTTTTTTTTCTTACTTAAGTGTTTTTGTGGAGGACCACCAATCTGGAGATCATTGAGATTGTTTGGGCACTTGAATAAAAATTATGAGTATTAATGCTGTAGTGTTGCAGGTTCAGATAAGCAGGACAGGCCACTCCTACAAAGCTCTCCAGCTGCCATGATTGGTGGTTTTCTCTCCACTTGCCTTCTCTCCAGCATTTCCTCTGCTAGAGTGGACCACTTTGTGGGAGGAGTTTGTCCTGCTATTTTTAACCTGCAACAAGTATAGTTTCATACTTGTATAAAACACAAAGACTCCCTTAGCACACTATCAGGGGTAGCGTTCATTCTACTGCGTGTCCCAAATATCGGCCAGGCTCTTTAAATCGACCGCAAAAATTGGTTTCTTAACCTATCACGTTCTGATTTTGTATAGCGTTGGCCACAGGTTGTGCATTTTTTCTTGTAAAATTTGCAAAGAGTGAACTTACCTGAGGAAAAAGTGAAAAAAGAAAAAGGCTTAACTCCTACGGAAACGCAGCAAAGCCACTTATGGAAACGCAGCGAAGCCACCGATCTTCAAAGCAGAGGGCGCAACCTGGTGGCCAACGCCGTACAAAATCGGAACGCAATAGGTTAAGAAACCGATTTTTGCGGCCGATTTAAAGAGCCTGGCCGCTATCTAAGACACGGGGTAGTTTTCCACAAGGCTCGAGCTATTATGCGAACTTTTGGTAAAAACTGCAGTCATTACGAGTTCCCTTAGTATGTAACCTGTGATGCCAGCAGGAGACAATATAGCAACAGTTTGAATGTTGACCAGATATTTATTTATTCTTTTTGTCTTTTCTTCCAGTGGCAAGTCACGTGAGCTCTGCCATGAGCCTTCGGTAATATCAAACCAAGGTAAAAAAAAAAAACGAAAACACCCGGTTGTTTGAAGAGTTGTTTCCGTGTGCTCACTGCCTGCGATTTATTTATTCAAGATAATTGTTGCTCTGTACACCAATATAACAATAAACAGAACTGTAATTTCAGCCAGTCTCAATCAATTTATGTGGAACAACTACTGCACAAAGGCTCAGGGCCCGTTTTGGAACATAACTCCGCTGAACCAGACTTTGTTAAATGTCGGGCACGACGCAGTATTAGCAGGAAACAAAATGTGAGGTCAATGCTACACGCGAAATCACGTAACACTCTCGGAACATTAAATTAATTCGACAATGCTCTCCCGGTCTCGAACACGGGGGTCGACAAAAACACGCTGTGTTGACGTCAAACGAAGTGACACATGTGAACTTATGTACAAAAACAAACAAAAAAACAATGAAATGTGCATTTCTTTTTTTTGTCTTCTCGAGTGTTGAAACAGATTTCAAAACATTTTAACACCAAACTTGACCTTATGTATGTGAAAAAAATAAAAAAAAAAGGATGATGCATGTATGGGGGCCTAAAATAATGAAAACTACAAATATGTATGTACAGACTGAATGAAATGTGCTTAACCGCAGCGTTAAAAGTGTGCGTGCTAGGGCAAGCGTGCGGTGCTACGATGACGAGCCAGAAAGGCGTCGCGTCAACGTTGTGGCAACGTCGAACCAACGTCACGCTGGCTTTGACAAGGTGTCAGTGGGTGGAAAAAACATGGAAAACCGGGCTTCACGTATGTACAGACACGCCATCTCTTGGAAGTGACACGAGGAAGGAAAAAAAAATCACAGTCTACAAGTGGGGCGGCAACAGGCCACCCACAAACAAAGACAATACAGGGATTGGGGACCCCCGCTTGCACAAGTGGGGACAGATGTGCCCTCCCCCATAAAAAGTGCACCTGTAAGATTCTTCAACAAACACTTTGCATAGGTTCGAACAAAAACATCTACTAGCTAACACACCAAGCCAGCAAAACGACTAACCAGCGGCTAACCACAAACGGGGTCCGACCGTTTCGAATTCTCATTTCGGACCGACGGAGGCGCGAGGAAGTTGGAACGACGGAACAGGCGTCGCAACTTTAAATGCATCCCATTTGTTTTACTTAGGTTTTTCGAGAGGTCTGGAGCAGAAGGTAATACAACGCCACATTTTGGCAGGCTAAAGACCCGTACCGGACTTAAAATGCGACGCCAACGTTAATTCAATGTTATCCCAACGTCGGTTCAATGTTGCACCAACAGTGCTGTTTGTGTGACCTAGACCCCTTTCGCTTCGCAGCACTTGCTCGGCACTTGGAACATCAGTACCTGCAGCCGAATGGTAAATAGCTTATAGCCGCCGGTAGGCACCCCAAGCTTTATGCTGACGCAACTTCGAAACAATGTTGCGTTACCATCGTTCCAATATTAGCCGAGTGTGAATTCGACCCAGTCCACGGGATTGGGGCCGACCAGTATAAACCGAATATGCGCCTCTCCTTGGACACTGGCTTGGCAGCCACATATCTATGGGCGTTTATTCGTGTCTCGAATTGCGCGAGCAACCTGGAACATTTCTGCCGAAACGTCGTCGTTGCACCCCCTTTCGTTCCAGACCTTTTGTGAAGCGAGCTTGCAGTTCTGTCCCCCTTAACAAGGCGCCAACAAAATTTGCTAGCAAACGATAATTCTTGCGCCCCGGGGCCTCTGCGTACGAGACCGCTGCTTTCCAACTAACTAGAAGCCTTGTCGCGTTTGGGGAAGAAACCCCGACGCTTTGCGGCGCCCCCCCGAAATGTTGGACCCAAACACGTCGGACCCTCTCTGTACAAGGCTCGAGAAAACTCAACGCTCGATCGCCATGACGCTCTTTGGTAGGGTCTTTGCACCCCCCCCCCCCCCCCCCCTTCCCCTCCCCGATAGACATCTGCATGTACATAACCGTCATCACAATGCTCGCTCTGGTTGCTCGGGTGTATAAATGCTCTCCCCGCACGTAAGGTGTGCCGCCCGAGATTGGGTTCACAACGGCTGCCGGCTCTTCGTCGGAACCGCTTTGATCACAGTTTCCCTCTCGCACCGCGAGGCAAGGAGTTCGCGCGCAGGTCGTGTCGAGCCGCAGCCAGCCACTGAAGCAGGACTACACACTTAACAGGCAGAAAATCTACAGTGCTATCATATGTACAGAGATACTTTGGAAAAAAAACGTGGGTGCGGCATTTTTGCAGCCTCTCCTTTCTGGAGTCGGTTAGAGATCCCGCCGCGTCGTAAAAAGAAAGGAAAAGAAAGACTACTTCCGTTTTCGTCTCTGATAATCGGGATCGCGGCGTCGTAAAAGATACGAGCGAGGCTTCTCGCAATTGCATCGAGCAACAATGGAATCGAGCGTCGCACCCCGCTCCCGGCGCTAACAGTTCCCTTCTCCGGAATCCGGCGCACCCAAAATAAAGAGGCGAGGAAAAATAAATGCTTCTAGTCGAAACGCGGACGTCTTCTTTCCCAGTTGGACGCGACGGTGTTTAAATCTCGTTTTGAACAACTGGTAACAAAACGACTTCTTCGAAGTGATCTGCAGCAAAGAATCGCAGCTTGCGCCCACCAAACGATACTTTATAGACGAAATCTGTGAGTATGTACAACCAGAACACTCGGTGCGCTGCACATGTAACAGGTGGCTGCAAAAAGTGTGGAAGTTTCGGAACTGCAAACTTGACAGTCATGCAAGAAACTCTATACGCAAAAGGGAACTGCTAGCTTGACGAAAACTTTGCCTTTATGCATTGACCCGTGCAGAACGGAGGAGGAATACGTTCCGTTATTTGGTTGGCTTTTGTATGTACAAACAGCAAAGCCATAATCTCATCTCCGAGTTGCTTCCGGTTGGAAAAGTAAAGAGTCTAGCAACAGCGTCGCCGAGACGCAGCGCGAAAATACCGGCAACAACGCCTTCGTCTCTTGTAAGCAACGAGGGGAATCCTTTCACGATCAGTATTTTAGTAAATGCCTTCCGTGAGACTTCGAGTGGCTTAACAGAAAGGAAGTCTGAGCGACTTCGAGTTACTCGATGCAAATGAAGTGGACGAGACGAAGCGAATTGATGCAAATGAAGTCGGTGAAAAATGAAGTGATGACTGAGACACCAATTGGAATTTCGTCTCGAAGGTGCATCTCGTCCCCTTGGATGCTCTTGAGGAAGTTCGAAAGCAAACTATCCGGTCAAATGCGGCCTACGAAAATGGGAGCAAGTCTCCCCAACAAAACTCTCGAGGAGCTTGTGCCTTTTAGGAACTGCTGTGTCTCGCAGCGACAAAGTTCCGTCACTCTTTCGACTGTTCAAGTGAACATATTACAAAAAGAAAGGTCCACTTGCCAAACAAGACATCTTCTATGACATAAGTCCAGAAGTTCTATGAAGACGGAATATAATTTTCCTCCCGTAAACTTTAACAGCAATAGGAACATGTTGCCACTCGCTACCGGGCACCCACTGCCATCGCGTCGTGTAAACAAGTAATATTGTTGACAAATTTTGGCCACGCTCGAAATACAAACATAACAGAGCTCCAGTATGTACCATACCCGTGACAATAACAGAACACTACAATAGCCACCCGGGTGCAAGGCCATCGCATATGGCATCAACCTTGGCTCCAACAAAAGCCCGTCGTGGCATCCGAAGATTAGGAATAGCAACGCATGCTAAGGTGAACAACACATTTGTACTGCTTTCGAGTGTTAACAGCTGGCAAACTCTTGGCTCCAACTCGTTAATACCGTCGGGTACAGTGCAACTAGAACCAAACACTATGTGCTCATTCGAAGAAAAAATTCTCGTGATAAAAACACAAGGGGCACTTAAGAAAGCCAAAAACCATTGGCAAAATTTAGATACAGTAGAGGACGAAAACAAAAGGGTGGATGTTATGCCGTTTGTTAAGCCAGAAACAAGTCTGGGAACCATTTTCTTAGTACCAAAACCGGGAAAAAAAAAGTTAAGCATGGGCATATTACTGGCCGTGTGACGCATAACTCGTGACGACGACGCACGTCTGAAGTTTCAACATTCCCAATACTTTGCAATATACTCAATGTTGCACGTTGCATGATAATAAGCCAACGGTACGGAAACGCTTCGGGGATGTCGTTTGACTAACAAGACCATGTGGCATTTTACATCTTTTGGGATGTTCCGGTACCGCCAGACAATGGCTCATTGTTTTGCAGGGTGGTTTAAAGCGGACTAGCCAGACCCTGAAAGCAGCATACAAATCTGTTCATCCCCTGCATTGTTCCGCAATTTACAATAGAGCTGTCTTCTGCCGTCTAACCAGAGTTTGCATATCGGCAAGGATTGCTACGAGCATTATATTACTCTGCACTTCGACACTCAAAGGTGGACACAACATCCATGATGTCATCAACCCCAAACAGATGCAAGTGTCAAGAAGTTGAGAAATGATAGTGCATTGTCTGCTTATAAACAAGCAATAACATCTTTTCGAATTCTGTTTCAATGTGCAACCTCATTGCTTCTTTGAAACATACACTGCCCTGCCACTTCTATCGCAGTGTCAAATCGGGGGGCACGTTGCGCTCTGGAAATGTTATTTCTTTCTATTGTATCTCCAGATTATACCCCCTGAAAATAAACTGCTCTGTGATGCCTAGCTTCCATAATGAATCCTCCTTTAAAACTTCTTTTGGAAATCTCCATCATCTCTTTTCCCACTGTACAACATCATCATTACTCCATCTGGGAGATGACTAAACTCTCCCACTGCTAACCTCTGGAGGTGGTAAGCTCTACTGTTACTCTCTTGAGCACCTTCCAGAGCACTGTCCCCTCTTTGCACCATCATATAGACCTCCATGAAACTCTCTCTAGAGCTGTACCCTGGTACCCTTTCTTTCCACTGTACAATCAACACACCACAGCCTCGCCGAAGAAGGACTAAACTCTCCCAATAACACCCACAGAAGGGCCAACAACCACCCTTGTTTCTCCATTCCCTTTCCACTGTACAATGTCCCCATTACACCCTCTTCAGAGAGGGAGTCATAGGTCCCATTACAGCCCCTCTCAAGCAAGAGTCAACCTCCTTTGTAACTTTCATCTCTTTCCACTGTACAATCCCCTTATAAAACCCTCAAGACAAAAGTCACCCTCCCTTATTACTCCCTCCTCTTTCCACTCGTTACACCCTCTTCAGAAAAGGGACTTAAGCTCTCCCATTGCACCCGTCTCCAGGAAGAGCCAATCTCCCTTATTACTCTCTCCGAATCCTCTTGGAGTGCCTCGTAGACACCTCGCTGGGGGCTCCTCCCCCGGGTTGCTGCCCCCTCCTGACGACCTGCACTTGGGACTGGGCCGTCACTTGCAGCTGGATGGCAGACGTGTTCAGCTTCTCCGAGAGCAGCAGCTCCCTCAGACCCGCCATCTTCTGACTGGAGAGTGTGACAGAAGGCTCCCCTCCGCCGTTACGACTATCCGCCTTCTAAATGGGTTTCAGAAAATGGGAAAAGAGGACAGTATCACAACCACGCTTTGCCTTTGCAGCTCTACGCTGTCCTATCCCAGAGATAACCCATGCACATTCGCAAGTGCAGCACTGCCATTTTGATGCTTTTGCATTAGCCAATTTATAAAGCAGGGAGGGATGAATAATTCATAATGGCAATATACTCTGTATTGGGCAGTCACTTGTGCCATCTGGCCTGGGTGGATAAACGGATGGTAGTGGCTAAACTCGCTGTAGTAGCTTGTGTCACCTTGCCTCAACGTTATTAGACCACTCAGTTGGGAAACTGCCATAGAGACTGCTTTAAAAAAGTGGCCCCAATTTGTCCTCGAGCACCGGGCTAATGACGAACACAACGCCACCATTTCTCCCGCAGCGGCCATTTGAGGAACCGTACGTTACTTCTATTTTGGCGTTAATCGGCCATTTTGGCGCCCAAACAGGTACAGTGGAAGAGGTTACAGGGGTGCCACCCCCGTCCCCCCAGCGGACGCACCGCGTCTTACTACCGAGGTTAAAATTCACCTAGGTCGGGACGTGCTACCTGAAAGCACTGCTGAGGCATGGTTGTATAAAAACAATATTAATTGTGCCGCAAAACCTTGCAAACTAAAGATTTTAAAAACATCACGTGCCCTTCATTTTGTACTAAACTCCAATAAATTTCATACAAAAAGAGTCTTTTCCGTTTGTTTTTATGCAAAAACAGGCTTTCTAAAAGCTCAAAGTGACCACAGTAGAGACAAATGATAAAGAGTGGCGCTGTTGTCGTATTTAGCTCGGTCTCGGTGGACGCCAGCGGCCCAGGTTTCGGCAGCGAGTCTCCCAACTGAGTGTTTTAGTAACGCTGCCTTGCCTAGAACCTTCGACTCTTTTAAATATTGCCCCACCTAGCCTAGAAACATTTCCTTTCCATCTTTGTGATTGAATCGGATTCCGGACTTCGTCGGCTTCCCCTTTGTTATCACAGAACTTTGGATTCTGGATCTAGCCAGTTGGCTCATCTGCTATTGCCACCCATGGTTGCTAAACCAGCTTTTGAAGCGTGCTCACTTACAAACCTGTGCAGTTGTTGACGGGCTGGTATGCCACCCAAGGCATGTCGACGGTAGAGTCAAATATTATTATAAGATACTATGGAACTGACCCAGCTGCAAAAGCCACTTCCTTCTATAAGGTTAGCCTCAAAGGTAGAATGTGCAAAACCAAAAGAGGCCTACTGCATGGTGGAGCATGCATCCGAGTGACATACACAATGCAATTGAAACAAAAGAGAATGGACTTTAGCCTACTCCTATAACCGGGCGTTTTCACGGGAAAGGCATCAGCTATAAATACATTCGCCTACCCTGGAAATGCTATACAAAGATGGAAAAATGGGCCTAGTCTTAAATGTGGTTCCACCAGCGAACAACAGCACAACAGCAGCCCAAGCTAAAGTTTCACAACAGCCCAAGCTTAAGTTTCTGCTGGAGACCCAATTTTCATCGATTTAACTAATTCCTAGAAGTTTCAATATGGGCAGCCATAGTACCGACACCCACTGACGGGATCGCTCCTGTATAAAGTAGTTTATAGACAACAAGTTATCAATAATAATGCACTGGCCAGATGGCATTTGTATGGCTAAGACACAATGTAACTATTACTCATACAAGGAATTTGACTTTTGAGCATTACCTCTTGGCTTATAGACCGACACGCGGCGCGGCTCTGTTTACCAACACGGCCTGAAGACCGCGCATGCGCAGCAGCTATGTGGGCAAAAGCGGCCAGGCTCTTAGTGTTTTCGCCATTGCGTTCTATGGCGTGCGCTCGTTGTTGACATTGTAGAGACGTTTCTAGCTTTATTTGTGTGTCGTATTTCCTGACAACGTATGTCGTATGCTACGCCCGACTATTTGAGCTCGCTACTCAAGCCTGAACGGTGGCGGTATCGAAAAAAACTGTGCGTGGACGGCCGACACGGTGCAGACGATCCGTACGCTTAGACAAGGCCTGCTGGACTTGCGACGTGAAGTTGCTGCCACCGACGTCGATGGCTCACGTCGTCGTTTATTTACATTTTTAGCCGAGCCAGTTGACGGCCGACACGGTGCAGGCGTACAAGTCTCTCAAGGCCTACGATTACTTAATTCGAGCCGGTTTCTGCACTGTTGGCGGGATCAGCAGACTGTGGGCCTGCGGAACTGCATTTATTAATTGATTAAATACACACAGCGTCCTTGAAGTGAAAGTACGATATTTTTCGTACCCTCATGACCACAAGGCATGACAAGCGGTAACGCTTTGTCCGTTCTGCAGTCTTGGCGGTAACACGTTACAAGTAACGGCGTTACCAGAAACGCGTTACTTTTTTCAGTAACGTAGTAACCTACTCGTTACTTTTTCAAAATAATAACGGGTAACATATTTACGTTACTATTTCAAGTAACGGGTAACGTAGTTTCGTTACTCGTCACTTCTTCTTCCCTAGTCTTAAAGGAATCGCACTTGAATTTTTTACGTTTTTAGATGTTAAGCCACATGAATTTCTAAGTTTTCTGCGTTTTTCTTTGCTTTTTTTTCTTATGAGTATTTAGGTGAAACCGTAAAAAAAAAAAGATAAAGTAATTGGGGTCAGCTTCTGCATGAACATATTTCTTGATATATGATTTTATGCATACCTGTATCGTCAAAACAGTAAAACGAGTTAAATCATAATCAAAAAAGTAAAGTAACGCAAAACTAGTGTGCGTTACATTTCATCGCCTTCTTTTTATTTTGAGGTAAAGTAGGTCGGCAACGTGTTCCTTTTATTTGCAAGTAACGAGTAACGTATCTCATTACTTTTTTCAGTCATGCCTACAACACTGACGTTGTGTCGCCGATCTTCCGCCTGATAGTACGGGCGTAGCGAGCCACCGACGAGCGCTTGGCCGGTGCTTTGTGCTCAAACACCGTGGGAACAAAATCCCGGTGGTTTCGATCAGACGAAGGTTTCCCTGCACATAAGCAAGCCTCAAGACGGAGATTGAAATGGAAGCCACACTTGCCTTCAAGAAAGTGCTTGCCGCACGAACGGTCAATCAATATTTTCGATCCACAGATATTATCCACCTTCTGCACCTGTCAGAGTCAGCCCGGAACTTGTGAAAACTCACCCCGCTACGTTTGCTGTACCTTTCGGTGCAATTAACGGCTACACAGCTTTGCGGAATGCAGAAACGCTATGACACCCATGCTAAACATGCGCCCTTTTGCCCACACCCCCCGGCTCCGGCGTGATCACAGCGCCGCCGCAGCTCCGTGACGCCAAACCCGCGTGTCGGTCTATAGCCCAACATCTAATCATGCTTGGCAGTGCAAAGCAGGCATTAATGAGAACAGACTTAACTATATTATAAGCACTGTTACACTGCAGAGAAGTGTCGTGCGCAACAGCCTGTAGAAGTATGCTCGACTGCACTAGACTATGAAACTATAGTGATGTTACTACTCATATTTTAAATACCTCTCACTGAAGTTAAGTACTTCAGTCATTACAAGAACAAAACCACCTCACAAGTAAGTTTAAGAAATTTAACCCTTTTCTGATCCCTGGTAATCAATGGCTTTTAAGCGCCGTCAAGGAATTAAATTTAGTGCGGAGAATTAAGTTCCACAACCTCGTGGATAGCGGAAGAATGCTAGTATCAATTTCAAGGTGGATTTAAGCTTTATCATATGGTGCTGGGATATCAAAAATAGTCCTGGGAACAGTGGTTGCATTTTTTAACATCACTAACTGCTTGCATCAGTCTCATGATGGCATTATTTACGTATCAACTGTATCTGGCATATTTTTTAGACCTTAAGAGCTCCGGGGACACTTTAGATTACGGTATGTTCTAGGCATCGCTTAACAGATGATTGTCGATAAGCATCACTATAACTTATAACGCTATATACTAACTCGAGTTTTGAGTTAATGTATCTCTTTTGCAGCCGTGCTAGATACGCAAAAAAAATGGGCATTTTTTAGATTTTTTTTTTTTTTTTTTACTTTTTGTGCTTATCCATTGGGACATGGCCCACCCCACTTCTTTTATGAATTTCAAGTCGGCGACGACTTGGGATATTACGGTATGCTCCAAAATCCAATAACAAAGCACCTGCGTTTTTGCTGTACGGCTAAAGGTCAAAACAATGCACGAATGCAAGGACAAAGTAGACGAAACAAGTCTTCAACTCGGGACTTCTCTTCTAGACATCGTTCTAATTTTTGCTCAACGTCACTAAACCAACATGCCCAAATTTCTACTCTACAACACCTCCTGGTTTACCTGCAAGTGCAGCAAATCAACATTTATCCCGAACACCCTTTGTTGACGCCCACAACAAATATCCACAGGTTCACCAGATAAAAGTTTATTCCACATCCATGCTGGAACTCCATTTTATCACCCAGAACCAGCCGCACCACCCGTGTTATTCGTCAGTCTGACCCCAGAAAGAAGATAGGACTTGAGAAAGTATAAGGTGGGTACCAACGGAAACAAATAGACGAAGAGATGAAAGGAAAGAGTGAGGCATGCAAGAGCGATCGAGGGGCTCCAGAGAGAAAACAGGTTTTTGAAAGAGCCCTCAATTAATCCCACTCAGCAGGCACAACACACTACAGAGAGAAATATGTGTTCAAAATTCAAAATGCAGCTACAAAGTCGTATGCCTTTCTCCCAATTCAGCTAGATTGTGGACAACTATGTGATGTTATATGTGGTTAGATAAGTTTCGTTACAAAGTATGAAGAGTGCTGTATTTCCTCGCACACATCTTCATAAACAAATGTGATGTGAACACCAGGAAATACAGTATGCAGTGTAACTACCTATGCATATATGCTGTTATGAAGTGTGATGTGGACTGCAGAGGCTTACAATAGTACGTCAAGTACAGTAGAGTAGAGCAAACTATCTAACGCTGTGTGGTAAAAATTTGAGAGATCTACCTGAGCTATCCAGAGCAGCGATTTATGCAAAGCCAAGTAAGGTAATGAAGTTGACTAGGGTTAATAATTGGGCTAGGTGATAATTCACGACAGCTAATCCAGCACAAAAGACGAGGACAAGAGAAACACAAACACGGCCCTACTTACAACCTAAGCTTTATTCGTGTTGGCATCTGACATAAATGCTACCGACGCCAACAAAACAAGCCAGGGAAGAAAAACTAAAAGGTTAACATTTGTGTACAGGTAATGTGTCATCTATACAGCATTGTCACTGGTTTCTTCCACTCGTCCAAAAGAACTGTACATGTAACTGACTGCTGTAGATGACACGTAACCTGTGCGTGGGTTTCAGCCTCTTAGATTTTGTGTTGTTTCTCTTCCCTGGCTCGTTTTGGCGGCGTCGGCAGTATTTATACCGAATGCCAACACGAATAAATCTTTCGCTGTAAGAAGCGCCGCCTTTGTGTCTCTTTTGTCCTCGTCTTTCGCGCTGGGTTTGTTGTCAAGGTAATGAAGATTTCACGAGTGTCCAAGGTAGCTGCAGCAATTAGACGCTTTGAACGTTAGGAAGGACACATCCGCAATCTAGGGTGACCAGATGTATGCAAGGCTAGGACATCCACCATCTAGAGCTAGCAGGGGTGTGTGAAGGTTGTTTCCTTGAGCTACGGAGGTGTGCCTATTCAGCATTCGGAAAACATGATTCACACATCTGCATTCGGTGAGTGTGATCGACTGTAATCACTCGTGACGACAAAACAAACTGATGCCATCTATCGAGTAGCCCTGCACCATTTACGATCTGCACACAATCTATGTGTCACTCCTACACCGTATGCATGAAAACAACTCTGACAACAAGCATAAATTTGATTCCGGAAATACCGCTAAACCTTCGATACGCAGAGGGCACAGGCGTGCAAGTGTGTTTTCTCGTCGTAAGCAGCTAAAAGCCTTTGTAACGGTGCTCTGTCAATCATGCTCAAAAGGAGACACACAAACCGTCCTTAAAGGGGTACTCCGGCGATTTTTGAGCTACCTCAACTAACTGTATTTTCTGACTCCCCGGCCCTTACCCTTTCTGGTATGCTATTTAGTATCGTGAAATTCATAATAGTTATTGCGAAATTGGCAAATGAAAATGATGCAAAAACCAACATTCAAATATACCCGCACTTTTCAGTGCCGTGACGAGCAGTCTAAAAAATAGAATATGCCCATCATTTGTTCCGTGCTGGAGCGCGGGGACTGGAGCGAGCTTCCAAGGCATTCATTTGACACCATGAAACTGCTTCGAATCAGTTGGGAACAAATTCTACAGTCCAAAGAGTGAACCCCTGCACTTCCAATGACGTCACTCTTTCGTTGTTGCCAGTAGAGACTTTCAGTTTGAAAAACACGGTGAGGACCAAAATTGTAAATTCAATAACTTCGTGAAAAAAAATTATTTTGACCTAATATGTGGGATACTATTTTGGCAATGTTGTTTGGCGAGTTTAGCAAAATTTCAAGCAAATCGGGGACCATGAAGAAATCGGCAGAGTACCCCTTAAAGGGTTGACCTACACAAAAAAAAAAAGATTCCCAGTTTCTTTTTTTTTTAATCCCTCTCGCGCTCTTCTCTCCTCCTCTCCCCATGGAAGCAGGTCTCTGGGCTACTCCCCGCAGAAAGGAGGAGGACCTCCCTCTTCCTCGAACGGAAAGAAGGAATTCAGGGAGAGTTTCCTCTTTTCCAACTGTTCGTCGACCTTTAAGAGTCTAGGGGGCCGCGTAAGGCTACGAGGGTTATGTAGCTGCATTGTAGACCTATGTGGAGTGCCCAGAAAGATGTCTCGAACTGTAGAAACCGTCCCCAGTTAGTGACATTCGCGTGTGTGTGCAGTGAGACCCGCCGTGTAGTGTAGAGTGATTAGTGTCCCTTGCACCAGCAGCTCGATGCATACCTTAGAGGCTTTTCTGGGCTTGTGAAAGCTCTTTCCGCTGCCATCGCCACCGTCATCATCATCATCGTCGTTGTTGTTGTTGTTGTTGTTGTGGGCGGAGCTGGAGTTGTCCAGCTCCCGGAATGGCGAGCCGGGACTCAAACGTCCGTTGACCTTCGGGTCGAACAGGTCGGAGTCATCAAAGTCCAACTCAGAACCCTTGAGGGTGGACATCTTGGGAATGTGCAGCAAAGGTGGACAGAGAGGGAGAGAAAGAGAGAGTGGAAGAGGAGAGGAGGCAGTATTGTCATGGAGGAAGGTTTGACAAAAGAGGCGGCGTGACGGGAGAGGGTACGGACAAACGGGACGGGAGAGACGGAGAAAACAAGCAAAAGAAAACAGTTGGAAGAGCAGAGACAGACACGACGTGCAGTATAAAGTTTTGACTGTACCCTGGCATCTCACAACAAGAGTGCTCCCATGAGCTGTATAAAAAATTGTGAACCATGGCCTCTGTTAAACACATACAGAGGAACTCTTCTCTATAACTAACTTCCTTGATGAGTACTGCATTGAAGAGCTGGCAAATGCTCAAGTACTTAATGTTTTAGCACTAAATATAAAAGAAATAGGATAACAATTGAATGTATAGCAACGGGTATGCAGGGCGTTCGGTTTTAATTCGAAACAATTTTTTTTTTAGAAAAGGAGGCGAGAGTTGGACTATTGTTGTCTTCACCGTGTCATTTATCGGGATCAAGGGACATTAGACGAGGGAATAATCGTCACTGTAACCTAACTTGTTAACTAAACTTCATTAATTAATTTCTTTTATTGTTGGTTCCAGGGATCATGTTGCAACGCAGTATTGCTGGCTCTTACTATTAGAGGCCAGACCAAGTGACAGAATTAGCAAAATTGTAATAACTTTTGGATATTAAAGTATATGATAAACTTTCATGTTTCTAGCCAGACTTAAAAATTGCGCACAAAAAGAGCACCATAAGCCCAGTCCACAATGACACTTGGAAGAGTGAGGGAATCGTTCCAATGATGCCGTCACTATCTCGGCGGTGTGGCCTTGGTGGGTGCGCCAATGACACAAGTGACAATGTGACTGAAACGACTAGCATGTCACTCTCCTAGCGGCATGGTTGTGGAACTTTTTTTGCATGCGATTTTCTAATTGGGCCAGAAAATGTGAAAAAGGATCTCAAAAACAATTACCGTAAATTCCCGAAAGATGCCCCACCAATGAAGAGTAACCCACCCCTATTTTTGGCTTTACTTGCTATATTCTTTTACACACTAAAACACAGCCCACTCCTAGTAATCGCAGTGTTGGGATAAGCGATGACCTGTTTGTAAATGCGTCTAGTTAGCTATCGCGGGATATAAGAAAACATTTCTGACTGGTAAGTACAGTCGTCTTTGCTTTATTGCCCCACCACGATAACAAGTTTGCAGAACGCATGATCTTAAAATAGCATTTTTTAATACTTCTCTTGATTGCACACCGAAAGCCAGCCCACTCTTTATTTTCACCCAATTTTCTCTCTCCATTTTAGGTGGGCTATTTCTCTGGATATTCCGGTACACTTTTCGCAAATATTTTCCAATCGATCCGACCTCTGATGGTAATTGTCGTCGATACTGCAATTGAAACATAAGCCTTAAAACCAACAATTAAAAAGTTAATGAACATATTTTGTTGATTAGCCAACTTAACAAGACAATTATCCCCTCACCTAATGTACGCCGAGCCTGATAAATACATGGTTAATTAAGACGGCACTCATCTACCTCTCACGCACCTTTTTCCTTCAAAACTCTGTTCGAACTAACCTGCATATAAAAACTGGATTTTTCCTTCAATACATTGCCTTTGTTTGTTCTTAAAGAGTGGTATTGGCAAGAATGGAAGAACAGACTTCATTTGAAACTGTGTGGGCCATGACTAGTGACAGAGATATTGCAGCATTACATCACTGGCAGGCTGACAATACCCAAGACAATTAAGTTTGAGGGTCTCAACAGCAGAAGCCAGAATATCCAACATGCCGTCAAAATGGTCTTCTAGGGGAGACGAGAGGAAAGTCGGCTTGACACTTTTCTACAAGAACCGTTTGAGAGCATGGTAGAGGAGGCCTGCACGCTGTGCACCGATTGTGGACATTAGTCTAAAAGTGGTACATAGTGTAAGCAAGGAATGCACTAATTCATCGCAATTTTACAAATGCATTTTTTTTTTAACATTTTATACGAAGAATATTAGTCAACTGCATAAACTCCTTCTACACCAGAAACCAAGTGCAGAATTCCCTTCAAGGAGGAAACCACCTCACCTGAACTGCATCCCAATTATCCGCTTTAAAGCAACAATGTCGTATTTCCCCATCACCTAGGCTACCAGAGGGGAAAGAAACTCCATAAACCAAGAGTAACTCCCTTCCTTACTGTATGACAAATAGCTGCTTCAAAGCCCCAGTGCCTTTTCACTAATTTCTCACCACAGACTGTTCCCTAAATGGAGAGTACCCCCTCCACAGTTGTGGCAATGCCTCAGTGCCTTGACTCTCCAGTGCCCTAGAAGAAGAAACAATTCCCTAGCGTTCCGCCCCAAAGCTAGAGTAATTCGTGTCTTCAATTCCCTACAAAAGAGACAATACCATAAATGGAGTTTACCTCCCTTTCCCCATCACAGTTATTTGCTTCAAACCCTCAGTGCCTCAATTCCCCAGAAGGGAAATTCCCCCCATGGAATCTGCAAAAGGGACTGTGCTAGTTGGGTACCATATGCTTTCAAGCCTTGTACACGTCCGTTTCTAGAACGGAAAAGCTCCCCCACGCGCGCGCGCGCCTATTACCCTTTTTTCTTTCCCCCCCCCAAGGTAAACTGCTTCAGAGGGTCCGAAACAAGAGGTCAACCTGCTTTTAGAGCAGACTACTCTCAAAAAGAGGGCAAGAGTGACCGTGCGCTCTCTCACCCCGTCCTTGCTGGTGCTGCCGTTGTTGTTGGTCGAGAAGGGCTCGCCGCAACCGAGCAGGTAGTCCGGGTTCAAGATGTTCTCCGCACAGGCGGCCGCCAGGGCAGCAATGTCGGGGTGGGGCGGGCCGTTGCTCTGGCCCAGCTGACTCTCCAGGCTCCGAAGGAAGTCCTCTTCCTTGGGTGCCTTACCCTCAACCAGCTGAGAAGAGCAAAAGAGAAACGCTTGAAGAAAATAATGCTTGTGTTGGGTAGTGCACTACAGCGGATTCCAATCCAAAATCTTACAGGGCTTTTTTCCACTACAAAATAAACGATGCGCTGCCAAATGCTCATTTTTTGTCCAAATGTAGCACTGGCAACTCCAACCAAATGCCAATGTTTCAGAACGAACCGTCATCTTATTAAAAAGCTGTAAGTCATTTTCTGAAGTTTCGACGGTAAAACGGGGCCCGTTCTTGGTAACTGGCTTCAGGGCTCCGTGGGCTGCCATTTTTCTATTAAAAATTTCAGGAAGTAACTTGTAAGTTTTTAGTAAGATAAAGGGTAGTTCTGAAAATTCAGCCTCTAAATTCGAACTGCCAGTGCTACATTTTGGGGGGAGAATGAGCGTTTGGCAATGCATATCTAATTCTGTGATAAAAAACCTCGTGATTATTTTAGGGGGACACCCTGAAGAAAAAGGCAGATTGGATCAAAGGAAGTAAACTACATCAGCTGCACACAGAAGCAAGTAACAATTCTGAGCAAGTTCCATGAGAGTGCTCACTTCAGAGTCGCACATGCGCAGCTGCGTACCTAGCCTCACCTGTATCTTGTAAGATTGGTCATTTTTGCACTTGGTGCTTTGCCTTAATCATATTCGAAACGATACAAGGCCCTTAGACTTGGAGATCTGGTCTGTGATAATATTTTTGATGTTGGAGGTGTCTGACGAGAAAAGATCCATAGACACATTTTGAGAAATTACGGACTAAACACAACGAGCAAAGGATTGGAGGGAAAACGTGCCTCAATGTTTAATCGAGGGTGACAGGGCAATAGGCCTTGAACATTTCTCGAGAACTGTTGCTTCGGTATCCCCCGTTTATTTTCGCACTCAGTCGGAGGGATGGTTTTCTCCCGACTCGTGCGCCTCTTGACCCAGCTCAATTCCGAATATAGCACGAGGTGCGTTTCAGAGCACATCATTTCAGAAAAAAACTGCATTATGTTTGTGCAATAATGGGAACTAGCATTTTAACTATCATCAATTAGTTTATTAATTAGGCACTAGTATTGATCCTTAACCGCATAGTTGACCGACTCTCTGATTGTAAGATATGCAATTCGCCCGATCAGTCAATTCGTTTAACGACAGCGAGAGCCCAAACAATGCAGGTCTCCAACTGGTTCTCGCAAACGAGGCTCCAGCCAATCGCAGACCCGCTCACCGTGCTGTCTTGTGAGGAGCACTCGCTGTTCTTCTTCGATTCCTCGTCGGGGGGCGTGGGTGGCGGTGGGGGCCTCTTCTGTCCCTTCTGCGGCTGCCCCTTCTTCTTCTCCTCCTTCCCCTCTTCTCTTTCCTCCTCCACATCCTCCCCCTCCTCTCCCGTAGAGGCGTAGACCCTGACGGCCGCACGGACAGCGGCCGGAAACTTGGCGATGGTCGCCACCAGGGGTCGCGCCCAGCCAATATGGAGCACGGGAGTCGCTGAGCCTGGAGGGTTGGACATCAGTCAGAAGACCTTACCGGGAACCTTAGCTTTTCTGGTCGTCAACTACTTGGCCCTTTGAAAAAGGCACGGGCAGAAAGCTTGGGGAAAGTGAGTATAACGTTTGCTAACGTGTCTAAAGCGAATTTCTGAAACATTCGTTCCCGATATGGGCCTGTTTCGAGGTTGCACGGTACTTGCGGCAAAGTGTATAGTGCCCCGACTCTCGAACTAGGTTCTCAAGTTCACAAGGATTCCTGGAACCCCAAGGATGCCCGGAACTCCAAAAATTCCCAGCACTCCAAGGGTTTCAAGATCCCAAGGATTCCAAAGATTTCGAAATTCCTGGAAACTCCATGGGAACCTGGGATACGAAGGATCTCCGAAGCACACAAATTCCCTTGATCAGTCTTAATTATTGCATAATCTGCCTTCTGGCTGGAACAGTCTTAAAGGGACACTGACACCCCCCAAAATTTTTTTTTTAATTTTTTGCCAGGCGCTTCATTATGGTGTCGGAGGACTACCCAATTAATATTTTGCAACAGAGTAGCGTATTTCTTTAATAAAGCCAAAAGACGCAACTGCTCGAAACCGAAACCGAAACCCGACGGAGGTCGGAGAAGTGGAGAGAAGAGAGCGAGTGGCGGAAGTCACGTGGCTACACCCGACCGCGTTTTTTTTTTTTTTTTTTTTTCTCCTTTCCGTAGCAGACGACATGCGGCGTATAGGAACTGTTCGCCGTGGGATTCTTTTGCAGTTATGTATGTTCCGCTCGTTGTTCTGTACTCCAAGATGAGTTGTTTTGTACATTGAGGAGTTGGAGATGAGTAGCGAGTGCGCGTGGTGAATTTTGATCGGCTTCGAAAAGAATACACCCAAGATGTTGCGTGAAGAGCTGGCTCACATGTCCTGCGTCCGAAACAGAAGTGGCATTGTGCGACAGAGTTTCCGAAAGATCAACGGGATCAAGACCAATGGCTGGCTGCAATTCCTGTAGAACATATACGGGCACCTCGGAAAGCGGACGCTACCTGATTTATATGCTCCTTGCATTTTGTGGAAAGTGATTACATTGAGTTCGCAGGTGTCAAAAGGGAAATCCCATACCATTTAATTCAGCGACGTGTCGTCCACAACATTTTTTTTTTTTGTTTCTTCAGTGATAAATGTAAAAAAAAAAAAGAAATGTAGACATAAAAAAACATATGAAAAAAAAAAAAAAAAGTGTCACGGGGGATTGAACCCGGTCCTGCGGCGTGTGAAGCGGACGTCTTTCCCACTAAGCTACTGGGGCATATCGAAACTAGGGGATCTCTTTCCTTAGTAATATTTCAGCCCATAAACTGTAAGTTGGAAAGTTTGCTGCCGATTTTCCTCTAGCAAAAGCACTCCCGGGTCGAAGTCGGGATGCACCACGCATTGGCGACATTTTCACCTTCTAAAGAAATCGTACGCGTGCATATTCAACTCGAAGTAGACACGTCGTGCTTGACGTTTGCGCGAGCGATGTCTTCAGCCACGAGAAGGGAGCGACGGCTCGGCGACGTCTTCGTGCAAATCGGCTTGGTGGCCGGGCGTGTCGTACGGGATGAATACCAATTCTTTTGATCAGTCCCAAATTTCTCTTTTAACGGTAGACAGAATTCGCCAATACCGCGAACGACAGTTCTGAAATAGAGGTCCCACGCCTGTCGTCCGCTGCCATCGCCGTCCCCGCGAGTCCCACGATACGCGAAACAACGAACGCACAGAATGCTTCCGGTTGTCTGTGGAACTTTCTTTTTTCCATCAATGTATTTACAGCTTTTTAGAAGTCACAAAAAATGGGTTTCATATTTTTTTCTATTTTTAATATTGTGTGTGTGCCTTCAGTGACCCACGACTTTGATTAAATTTGGTGGTCGCATCGATACCTTAGAGAACGGCCCGTGACCGCGGAAAAGAGAGTGAGCGAGACTCGAACCGGCCAGTTCTTGATCGGCGGTTTTCGGGCGAAAGAAACCGAATTTCAAGCCGCAAATTCTGTTCTGCGTAGTTGAGCTCTCATATGTCACGTACAACCAAAAACCTCGGCGAGCATAAATACCCTGTCAGTGTCCCTTTAAAATAGCTTGGACAGGCACCAGTGCTAGCTTCCCCGTTTTCCCCCTCTGCACATATTACTTTTTGTAAAGCTTGTGAGTGCCTGATCTGCTTTAGTGTAAGAGTTAAAGGGGACAAGGAATATACATCACCTTCTTCCCAAGCACAGAGCCCATCGTAGAAACGAAGCAGGCAGGCAAAGCACCGAGGGTCCTGCAGGAGATTTCCCCCGTCGCTCGAGGGAGACAGCTTGGCTGCCTGGGGCACGAGCTCATTGGCTATCTCCATGAACTCCTTGTAGATCTCTTCGTCCTCACGCCCATAGTTGAACCTGGGTGCAACACGGTTTATAAGTAAAAAGAGACGAACAACACGAAGCACTGCCATGTCACAAAAGTGAAACTACAAAGCACACCACGAGAATGTCTTCGGTAGCAACGACTCCACGACTTATGCATTACTCTCACAAAACTTCAGCTCTAATGAATGCCTGCCAATGAGTAGAGTGTAACAGTTTCTTTTTTCCCAGTGGCATGTGGCATCTTTGTCAGTTCTAAACCTCCCTACATCCAGGAAGCCCTAAACTGCGTCACAGGACAGACAAGGAAACTTTAAAGGTTGTGAACCAACTGTTCTGGGTCTCATTAGAGTTTGGCCGAGCTTGTTCATTTATGTATTTATTTAAAAATACCACCAGCTTAATTTTATACTTTAGTGGAGTAGTTAGAAAGGTCATTGTTGCAAAGAAAACGTTCAGTTTCTGGTGAAGGGTGAAAACAAAAACACACCCAAAGCACTGTACAGTGCTTTGGGTGTATACTAGAAATTAGCTAGATAAGTACTCGTCTACACAGATATATTCAAAATACCCCCGCAGACGATGAAAATCAAAATGATCCGGTCCAGTCTTTTTTTGTGCCCGCAGTCAGCAGAAGCTCTATTACGTCTCAATTTGTCAAAAAATTCAAAGTACAGGATGTCCCTCTTCCAATCTATTCATAGCTCGGACTGCGGCTGTTTTGAAAAATTAGCAGATATGGCAGAGGAGCTCGAAGGATTGCTTCAGCCCACATTGTTTGCGAAAATATGCAAATACCGCGCATTAAATCGTACAAGCAAACACATTATAAAACACATAACGCCAGAGTTTGCTGACGATTCCAGGTGTACGCAGGTTTTGACCATCAGTGGACCACTCCGAGACGTGAGAACGTTGCAGAACCAGTATTTGTTTGTCGCATGGAGGTGGGAAGCTTCTGGAGGCGACATGACGCCACCAGAGGTTAGGCCAGAAGTGTGGAGTTTGGTCGTCGCTGGGGGCCTGCCCCTCCATACTCTGGTGGCGTCACATTGCCTCCAGAAGCTTCCTACCTCCATGGTTTGTGGGCGGGCGTACTTGCGTATGACGTCCGCGGCATCTGCCCACGCCCTGAGTGCTTCCTTGAGCCTGCCCGATCGGAAAAGGTAGCCTCCCAGGTAGGTGTAGGGGTAGACATGCGAGTCCCGGTAGTAGGTGCGCGATGCGTGCACGGCCTCCGACAGCAGGTCCAGCGGAGGAGGCCGCCCAGGGCTGGGGAACAGGCCCTCCAGCTCGCCCAGGTTGCCCAGGGCCATCGGGTAGTTGCGCAGGTGGCCCTTGTCATACAGCAGCCACAGCAGTTGCTGCGCAAGCGACCACAACGGGGGACGGGAAAGAGGTCAGTCGCTTCCCCAACGTTAGGATCCGTTCACACACTTGCATCTGCTCGGGACCAAGTTCGTGCGATCTCTTACTACGAGACAACACGCTGGGAAGCTTGCACCATCTATGAGGTGACCCTAGAACTGCACTTGACTACAGCAAAGGTTTTGCGGTATTAGCGAAATGGAACGGACATTCGAAAAATGGTCGTTTATAATAGTGTCAAAACTTTTTTGAGCAAAGAAAGAAGGAATTCCCTGGCCACCCAATAGATGGCACCAGTGTCCTCTCGTCGTGAGATTTTAAGCGGTTTTAAGGCAGACGGTCGTAAGCAGTCCGAGTGCGTGAATCAGCCTTTAGGACGTCGGGCTCCCCAGTGTGTCCTTGCCGAGGTTCCCTCACCTGCTGGAGGCAGATGAGTTCGGCACTGTCGGTGGCTGCGGCGATGGTGGGGTTGATGGCAGACACCAAGGCCGCCACCTCTGTGGCCCTGGTGCACTGGATGGCGTGGCCGTTGAGGTACAGCCAGCTCTTGTCCTGGGGGATGGGCTGGCCACGCCGGTCTTCGTTGCCCTTGCCTGCACGGCCCCACAAAGAACCCTTGTTAACTCGGCCGCTGCCACGCAATATTGTCGGGACTGTAGTCCCGATTTGTTTTAGAAGAGTCGCGAAAGCTATACTTATGCGGTCTTTGCGTGTCAGTTATAGGGTAAGGGGAAAAGCCGCAAGAGCGCCCACTCAAAACGAAGAGACAAACGGTGAAAAAATGGGGTGGGATATCTTGGGGAATGCGACAGCTAAACTTTATGAAAGACAGAGAGGCACGCGGGGGGGGGGGGGGGATTAACTATGAATCATGTGACACGGGAACTGATACCGCAAGTCACGGATGCAGCAGATTCGCATTTTACGATGCAATGAACATGCAGTAACAGCTTGAGTGTCAAGGGTACCGATACCTCGCAAGCAGATTGCCGACAAAAACACAGCAACCCACTACGAACTCGCTTGTCCGACATCGCATGATGTCCGACGGGAATCGAAGGGGTGGGCGACGTTTCAAAATTGTTCTGTTATGAAAGTCCACAGGGCTCGTGTTCGGTAAGCATCGAGCTCTGGTGAAAACAAGCTGGACAGAGCACCCCCTGCAATTAGATTTCCTCGACAACAGTATCTAAAGTCTGGTACACTGAAAGGCTCGGGAGACTGCCCACCGTGCCAGGTGACCTCTGCGGTCTCCGAGTTGTCTGGTCCGAAAGTCACCCAGGCGTGGTCTTCAGAGAGGGCCAGGTGGACGTCTGTGCACCCCAGTGCCTGGCAGGCTGCCACCACCGCAAACGCCACGCCAAAGCAGTCCAGCTTGTTGCCTGGTAGAGAGAACAAGAGACAACTCGAGGCAGGCTCCCACACTTGCGACCCCATACAACCCTGTACCTTAAAACTTCTTCCTACCAGAGTACATGCTGGCACCACCTATCGAGAAACTGTGAAACAATTGCAGTTTACATATACAGGGTAAGCGGAAGTAAACAAAAACAAAATAACGGCCAAACTTCCAGGGTGTTATTTTTGGTTGGCTATTGTTTTTGCTTGTTTTTGACGACCTTCAGTGAGCTGTGCATACTTTAAAAGTATCACCGCCAAGGGCCCACGGCAGTACCTCCCGAAATTATCTTCTACGGGATCTACATGCCTCCCTGATCCCTTGGATGAAAAGAAAGATCACCAGTTCCTCGAGAAAATGACAAACCTGCCAAAGGTATCGCGGGCGCAATTTCATGGCTACTTTTTCGACTTGCATGGTCCACATACCTGAGAGCAACTTAAAACCTACAAGTCCTTAAACGTGTTCAATTACTTTGTGAACGTCAAGGCATTGGCGATGGGCACCTACCTACCTTCCCCCCAGGGGTCGCCAAGCCGGATCTTGGTTTTAGTAGACGATTTTCGAAAAAGGTTTTATTAAGCTTCCTTTAGCGCGACGCGAGTCTGTTTAATGCACAATTTTTTAGAGTTATGACTTGCTTGCAAGAATGCGGCGTCGGCGGCACAGCATTTTCATGTTTCTCGTGTTGTGCCGTCTGTTGGCAGCACATCAAAGTAGGCTAGCATAGTCTGCCAATGCCATCGTTCTGCGAACACCTAAGCTCGGCAGTGTCGGTGGAGTCTCTTGTCTCAAGATAATCGAAATAACTTCACTTGTGACATTTTGTTTGTGCTGGTACGCATTGGCAACTTAACTCTTCCCTGACCGCGCCCACAGGCCATCGATCACTGGTGATCTATGGTTTCCAAGCGCCGTCATGTAATTAAATTTTGTGTGGAGAATTAGGTTCAACGATCTGGTGAATAGCCAAAAAACTGTAGTTTCAATTTCAACAATCATAAGCTGGTGAGCTGTCAAAAATATTCCTGGGAACAGTGGTTGCACCTGTCTAACATGGCTGACTGCTTTGATCAGACTTTGTAACAAAGATGACATTATTTACGTAATTCAACTGTATTGTGGCACATTTTTTATATGTGAAGAGCTCTGGGGACACTGTAAATGATGTTATAGATGTCGCTTAACAGATGGTTGTCAGTAAGCATCACTATAATTTCCAATGTTGTCCCGAGCAAGCAAGCACATTTTATTAACCAACACCTGGACAAAAATGCTGAATCCCGGACAAAAGCTCACCCATTTTTTCACAAACCCGGACAAAAGCTCACCAGGGAAAAAATTTCATGTTGGTCTTAACACGAGTGCGGACAACTTAGGTGCATCCGTGCGACACTAAAATGCAACGATAAATTAAATCTGACAGGCGCATGGTTTGATGATTAGAGTAGAAACAGGTTTATTTATCGATTGGTTAGAAGCAAATGCAGTCCCTTACTAGCTCCAGCAGTCTTGGTAGATCTGGGTGTACCTGGAACTCCTTAAAATAATTTTTCAGACGATTCTGCAGGCGCAGAGTGGTTTTCCGCTCCCACTTCTCTGGGGGTTCACCTCGTCGGGCTTGTGTCAATGCCATGGCAGCGAGCGCCTGATTTTCATGTAGGCGTTCAATCAGCCTCTAAATGCTTGGGTAGGCGTGGCCGCAAACTTCTGGAACCCGGTAATCCATCCTTCGCAGGTGTTGTTCATCCGGTCTTTATCTTGAAGAGTATTGTTGTACATGATCCACCATTCCGGGGGAAACTCCGGCCGTCGTCGGCACGCAGTCAGGCAAAGGGAAGAATTCGCTCTGGGTGCCGCCGCAGAAGGGGCAGAAGCACAACGGAAGGGGCCGTTGACATACGTGCAATCCAAGTAGTACAGCAGGTCGCCGATGTTACCGGTAGACTTTTCCCTGATGTAGGTTAGTCCTTCGGGCACAAGCTGTGGTGGAAGAAACGGCAGCCTATCCGAAATCCCACACAGCTTTCTAAAGTGGTCATCTGTCTTGTATTCGTCCAAAAGGCCCAACTCCCGTTCCTTCAAAATATTTTTAAAAAATCGCAACTCAATGGTTTGTATATTACAGTTTTGCTTCAGCTTCCCTTTCACATCACACTGAGATAATCCTCGATTTCAAATACATTTACCACGCTCAATGACGGGAAGAATTTAATTTTCCAAGCCATTCACTTAAAATATTCCTATGAACCCCAAGAAAACCCAAGCATTATAGTAATGAAGAGACATTGTACTAAACCTTTATGTGCGTGTTTAGCGTGACAGAAGCACAATGAGAAAGCGAGGTCACCAAAGGGTGACTTCGCTTCTTCGGTCACTCTTCGGGCTCAAAAACTTTGGTTCACAAAGTTACTTGGGCGTGGCGCAAAAGTGCTCCGGCATACCTTGAGTCAAGCAAGCTTTATCTTATCAGCTCCACTCAGTTTCAGTGACCTAAATTTTGGTCCCAAGTCGTTACTTCTCTGCCTGTTATGGTTTATCTGTTGATACCTTTGCATGGGATGGGGTACAAGTTCTCCTAAAAACGGTGCAATGTCCATTGCATCCACATTTTATTCCAGCCAGTGTTTCGCCCGGGTAGCAAAAAAATAAAATGAGGCAAGTTTTTGTTTGGGTTTGTGAGAAAAACGGGTGAGCTTTCGTTCAGTGACTTTTGTCTGGTTACCAAACATGCTAAATATGAAGGAACTGCAATCAAGCTACTATGACAAAACCAAGGTAGAACACAAAGGAAGCATTCGGTTCGGGGGTGAAATGTAATATCTGTGTTTCACCAACACCGTAAAATCCTTAACTTTCGCAAATTTCACGAATTGAAAATTTTGAGAAATGTAAGGGCATGTGAAAATTTCGATTTTTGAGAGTTTCAATGCAGGCGTCCGGAATTCGTGAAATTTAGTAGCCGCAATTATGTCCTCTTTGACCGATTTGAGAAAAATAGGGGCCGCGAACATAAAGTGTTCTACAGTATAACCATTCCTTCGTAGAAAAGCACATGTGTTACGGAGGCTAGCTCTCCAACAAACCAAAACTAGACAACATTAGTTAGAGTACGCTAACTTTCAGAAGTAATAGCCGTGGGTTTGGGACACATTTTGTATATTACAAATTTGAATTTATTTGTCATTTAATTTGACATAACTGTAGAAGTTTTGGCATTTATAGAGCTTCCGCATGTACATTGTAATTAGAAGAAATAAAATGTTTAAATCTTTTTTGCCACATTGTATAAACCTCTGTTCCTTTTGAAAGAACAATTATTTGGCCCAATTCTAATGTGTCAAATCGCTTTACACGCAAATTAGGAAAATGAAATCCTTTGCACGAATCCTTTGCAGATTACTACTTTTCCCGTGGTCAGGAAAGAGTCACAAGCACGACACTGGGGTATTCCTAGAGCATAGCTCCAAATCATTCCTCGCTAGGGAACCAAGAGTCATTGCACATTCACCCAAACACAAGGTAGACATAGGAGAACCGGAAGTACTACTCTCCCCCTGTCATGATGGCCGGAAGTGGCATGAGCACAGCAGCACAGCAGCGCACACCCCCCCCCGCCCCCGCCCGCCCGCCCCTCCAAACAAAATCCTGGCTACTGCCTGGTCAAAACAGTATGCAAAAGACCAACACGACATCACCTAAGCTTCCAGACACCATATCCAAGGCTCAGGAAGCCGCATCTCCCAATCGCAACTCTCGCCAATTGCACGCGTTTTGCACTAGGCACCGAAATGGCGGCACCTGCATGAAAAGCTGCAAACCGAATGCCAATAATCTATGTGCACCTCGTTTAATGACCCTAGTCTGAACTAGCACAATTAATCACCTACTGATTCCTCAACAATTTTTTCTTTTTCTTTTGTCTGTGTGTGTGTGTCAAGGGTTGTTTGATCGACATGGGAAAACCGCAAACTTTTTGAGTGGTGGACGTGGGTGCTGTTGGAGAAATCCTTTCTATTAGACGACTACTTTTATTTTTTTTAAATGCTAGATTAAGCAAAAAAAGAAAAAGGAACACCAGCATATGATTACTTCTAAGCCTGTCCTTTCCTAACGTTCTTCTACCACCGGCCCTCCTGCATGCATTCTGTTACTTTAACCAACCTTGAGCTTCCTTGTGGCCTCTTGAGCAGTCGCCATCAGGCCCGCTTCAGACGGGGGCAACTTTTCAAACAATTTTGGGGTTCCTCTCAGGTTGTTTGTTCCCTAGTCTTCCCTAGATCGACATGAATTGCTGAGATCAGGTCCGGTTCGAAATGGACGAGCAACTCTGACAAATCGGAGACATTTGAAGGGGTAGCAGCCAATTACGGACTCAATATTTTCATGTGACGCCCCTCTGGCGGTGATGATGACAACTCTTCGTCCTGGCTTGAAATGGATTGTTTTTGGGAATAAATCATTTCAGGAAGATGAGTTAGTATTCTCAATTTGGTTTAAAGATATAAAAACATGTTTATAGTGCGTAACTGTGCATCTAAATAGTGCAAGAAAAATCAAATTGAATGATGACGATGGCAAGCCATAGTGATTCGGCTGCTGCGTGTGAACAAGGGCGGCCCCTGTTGCTGGTATTACGACACCAAGTTACTGAATGAAGTTGCCCCATCTGAAGCGGGCCTCAGAAGACACGGTCGTCCACCTCCAGCAGCGTCAGCACCGACATTTCCGAATATTTTTTAACAAATGCTGTGTTGGAGAAGGCTCCCAAACATGCTCCTAGCTTTCTCTTCTCCAAAATGGACTTGATGCAGAGTCCTAACTAAATGCTTTTTTCTTTCTTCTTCTTTAATAAATTAGTATCTCTTTCATACACTAAAAAATACCTATGGGTATTCCCTAGGTACCTGGGGGATTAAAACATACCTATTTATTAAAGGGTACCTACACTCGGCGACAACTTTTCTTGGCGATGCAGTAGAA